ACAAATATTTGCTCTGGAGGCGTGTGCAATTTTACACGAACCATACCCTTCATCATCATGAGCTTCCTTACTTCCAATAATAATTAACAAGTCGGTGAGTAAAAATAAAAATTAAAACTAATGGTTTTTTTTTTCATATATGGATTCCATTTGGAGCGTTGCGAGCTGCACGTGGAACCGCGTGTGTTATTTAACAATATTGAACAATTGAATTGAATAAAGCATCATTACCAAACGAGTCATAAATAGTGTAGTTGAATTGGCTTGCATACGGATTACCCCATTTATTTATATTATAAATCGATTTTGAAAAGCCATCTTTAAATATTTGAATCAATTACCAAAAGTCTCATTATACATAATAACATCATGCTTAATAACAATTAAAATGTAGTTAGAGAACATTTAAATTCCAAATATTTCATTTTTCAAATCAAGAGTTTGTAAAAATACTGGTACTTAAACATTTGTGTATTCCAATAAGTATAAAACCCTAACCTGAAACTCGCGAACATATTGGTCATTTCCTAATTGATGCAAAATACAGACTACCCTTATTATGTACTGGGTACAGGGTATATACTTGTAGGTAGGAATGCCGGCAGCACCTGAACGCGATTTGCATTTGCCTATTTTGCAATGCAGCCACCCAACTCATTTACAAAGCAAATTGGCAACAAAAACAACAAACTCATTTCAAGCAAAATAAAAAAAAAAATTATAAAAAACAGCAACGTAAAATGCAATAGCAGAAACCAAACAGCCATAAAAGAAAATGGGTAAACAACCAATTTTTCCTCATTCGATATCGCTTATCAGCACCTGGGATGCGCAATGTAATTAAACAGTTCCGGTTCGGAACACTTCATGCAATTATAACATATGCAAAAATGCAATAATTACGATTACGAGTTCACCTATTGCTTGCGTATAGGCGAAATGGATTAGTACAGTTTCTTACCTTTTCAATTTTGCATCCAGTGCACCAATTGAAGTATTCGATCACTTTTTGTGACAGCCCTGTTTTCGTGCAACTTTTAAATTAAATAGCTTTTGTCACAATCACAGTTCACCCAACCCTGATCCATTTATTGAGTGCCCCCAAAAAGCTCGCAACATACCGAAATCATCCAATCCTTTCAATATATGTATATATTCGCACAGCATTGGAAATGTGTGCAGATATGTTTATTTATTTGTATTATTGCCTCAACTGTTATGAATTTCAGCAAATAGTACTAAAGGCTGCAGAACTCTTGAACTTGTTAAATAATTAAATATTTACAATTGCGGAAATTAGAGAAAATATATCTCAAATTGCCAATTTATGATACGCATTTACAAATAAATTAATAAGTCTTTGTATCTATTTAAATCTAAAATAAGAAACAAATAAAGTAATATACACAAATGACTTCACAATTGAGCTGGTTAAAGGTACTGATTTATAGGTTCGATATGTTGTATCGATAGGGACGAAAGTCTTTCGAAACGATGCAATCGCGTGACTATCGCAAAGCAAATAAAGACACGAAACGGGCGGCTCGGGCCGATCTTTGTGCGACCGCACAGAGCGCGTGAAGCGCACGTTTGAGTGCAGAGTGCAGGAGAATGGGCCGAATAATGGGCGACTGGCTGACTGACCATACATGACGGACATGACATCCGTTTGTCAGCAAATCAAAAGAGCAAAATGCACATGTTGAGAACCTGGCAATGGGAATGGCACTAAGAAACTGGAATTGGGTAAGGGAAATGGAAATGGAAATGGAGCTCGGACGAGGACTGAATTGGAGACTAGCGCGTTGCATTTGACTTCTGAATAAACGTGTGAATCGCTTTTTGATTGCCCGGCGGTTCACTTTAAAAGCCGCCAACAATTTGTGTGGTTTCATTTTGGGTTTTTTATTTTATTTAAAAATGTTTTTTTTTTTTGTATGAGCTTAGCCTTGATCATGGCCAAAAGCTGTCACATTGCGGCTTTATTGCGGTTCAGTTATTGTCGTCGTTGTTATTGTTGTTATTGTGGATGTTACAGCTGCTGTGTGAGCTGCATGACAAATGCAATCAGTGACTGAAACTTGAACGGAGTCAGACTCGAAGTCAGTATCAGAGTCTGAGTCAGAGTCAAAGCCTAATCATAAATGCACGACCAGCAGCTGAAGGAAACACATGTCAACGAGTCAACACATTGAAGGACAAATAAATCGGTCAGACATACAATAGTATAAAGGACCGTCAACTACAAGGATATTAACTGTATAGTAAATCAAAAAGTGTGTCATGTGAAAGATTGTAATGATTTTTGATATGCTTATATATCAATTTAAAGCTATATTGTAGTTAAGCTGAAACTCTTGAATTAGAAGAGTCATCAACGCTGTAATTGCCTGGAAAAGTTTAGCCAAATGGAATCATGGATCTGACTGTCTTCATCTATATATGAGCTGCTGGCATGATGGGGAGATGAATAGATAGTTAGATGGGAATATGGGAATATGGGGACAGCGAGAAGGAGCAACCTAATTGCTTTGACCTACTGCCACCCAAAAATGGACAAGTTACTTCCACGAAACAAACTTCCACAGACACGCAGACTAAATGGCGACAACAACAAATGCCAATAACAGCAACAGCAACAACAAATGCATGGATACATTGCTCTTGTAATATTTTTTTATGGCTCCATAAGCCATAAGATGTCTTAACCGTCTTTGATTGTCTTCTACTGCCACCCCACACACAACTCCCCGCATCCCTCATACCCAGCTGCTCCCCATGCTCTTGCATTGATTTTCTATTTTGATACCCTTGCCAGTGCCCAAGCGGGTAGAACGATTAACTGATGGATCTCATCTAGCGATGTCTGGCGATGGATATAAATAGAGATTATCAATTCGAATTCAAAAGCAGTCAGTAAGACGTTTATGAATGCAAACCTAAAGAGGAATATTCGAAATATCTAAAATGAATGGGTTCTCGTGAGAGTGATAAATATATATATAGTAATATATATATAAGGTCTTTCAAGTTATTTTGTCGTGAGCGTGTAGCGGCTTCGGTTTGTTGCAGTTGATGGTTTCATGCTTTGATGTTTGTCATTTTATTGGCAGTGCGGTTGGCTCCGACTTGTCTGCCCGGCTTGGCATGACCATTGCGGACCAACAACGGACACCGGACAATTCACTGTGGATACAAACTGTGTGACAGTTATACGGTGAGTTGGCAATAGTATTGTTGCTGTTGTTTTTGTAACCATTTTAAGTGCAGACGTCTGCAATTGTTGGCCTAGCCCCGGCGACTAGGTCTCGTTTGGGCCACATAATGTTGTTGATGATGATAATCAACGCTTGAACTAATCGTTATAGGTTTCTAATGAGCTTCTTGCATTTGCAATTAATTGCTGAATCAGCACTATTTCGAATGAAGTCATTCAATTTCCGTGCAATGCAAATGACTCAAGAATTTCTTTGAAAAAATTTTATTATTTAAATTTATATCCATTATCAAGTTGAGACATAACCAAAGACACATAGGGGCAGTCAGAAAAGATTAGTTCTTAAATAGAACTAACTATTCGATACTGCGAAAATATAATAAAAAAAAACTCAACAGCATACAACAAAACAAATAAATAAGGAAGAATCGGCGCTACACAAGGAAATATTTTGTTAGAAACTGGCTATGTAAATATGTACATATATAAATAAACAGTGTCTTATCTCGCGGGGATTGGGCACAACTGCAACCTAAGCACACATATAAATCTATATACACATATAAATATTTATATATATATAGATATACATAGATGCCCAAGTGATTTAGCGGAAAGTATGTCACGAAATGCGACAAATATTTCATTTCCTCTAAGTCCTGATAAACGGTTAACTGCCAAAAAAAAAGTGTGCTAAAAAGATAAACATAATAAAATGGAGTTACGAAAAATTAAAAGAATATCTTTGTGTTCAAGAAGTGAGTATAATAATCATTCTGGAAAGGAAATCCCAATATTATATTCTTTCAATTTAAATAATACAAATCGATGCTTTCAAACAACTCCTCCTTTAAAGGAAGCTAATCATTATTTTCATTGGGATTCTGTTAAATATATTTATTTGTAAAACGCAGAGAGGCATCACTCATTTATAACAGTAACAATCCAATTTTTGTCATTTTTTCTTTATTAAGCAAACAAGTTGTTTACTAAATGAACACCATTGAAACATCAAAGTTTTTAATGACATTTTAGTTTTTCATCATATTATTGCAGCAATTGCGAATTTTCTGTCTCTCTTCTTTTTTTTTATACGTTTCTTGTGCAAATGTATTCAATTAGTTAAACGAACTTAACTCAAGAGCCATCGAGTTGTGTTGTTCGTTAAATGCTAATGGAAGGCACATGCTAGATTGAAACCTTCATGCGAAACATCTGTGTGTGCATATAACATCATCTTTATAAATAATCAATATTCATTTTTTATTTCATTATATGGTAATTGAAGTGTCTAGCAACAACGAAAACAAGAATAACAACAGCAGCAACGAATAAACTGAATTTCAAACAAGTTTCGCACATTATCGGCAAAAATGTCAATAACAACAAAAACGAATGCAATGCAAAAACACGAAAAATTAATTTGTTTTATTTTTTTAAGCTCTTGTATTAAAATTAATCGAGGCTAATCAACTAAGGTAATTACCAAAATAGAATCGACTATTAAATGCCCTCTAAAAACAAAATTCAATACTGCATTTGGTATACAATCATTATAAAACATTAATTTTCTAGGATACGATGCTTACTCAATTATAATTAATATATGAAAAATGGCCAAACTTTTGACGCAATAATACACAACTGGCTGATACCCTTTGTAATTGAATGCGCATAGGGTATGCGCATGCAAGAAACATAAGCAAAAACCAAAACAAAAACATAAAAAGAGTTAAAAAAAACAATATGTAAAACCGGTTAAACTGAAGTGTTTAGCTCTTACCATTTGATGTCATTGCTGGAGTTTCCGATTGTGTGCGTGGCCAACGAATAGCCAAAATACGAATTTGGATTGCCATACTTAATAAGTGGCTGTCGCTGCTCCAAATTGAAGCACCAAATTGTTGTAGTCAGAGTGACGAGATTGCAGAAGATCAACAGAAAATCCCGGTATCTGGCTGATATGCCTCTGCTGCTGCATGATGCTAACCGCGTCTTTGCCATTGTGTGTGTGTGTGTGTGTTATTTTATTTATTTGTTATAACGTATCTAAACGTTTCCTTGCTCCGTTCACATGCACGTGCAATCGGCAACAAAAATAATAACAAGTACATCAACAACAACAATGGCCTAACGGCATGCAGAGCAACTAGCTTCCAACTTTTCACAATTCGCTTCAACCTTCAGCCTAACGCCAACAGGTAGTCAAAGGTGGTTTTTGCCCTCTTCAGGTCCATTTTTGATTGCTTTTCGAGATCTTATGTTGGTTGGTTCTGACTCTGCACTTGTTACTGTTGTTTGATTTGCAGCTCGACTGCTTCCATTGGCCTTTTCAAAAAAGCGCGCGAAATAACGTAAAACAAACTTGAAGCTTAAATATTATGCAAACCTCAATTTCCTTTTTTGCTTTATGAGTTTTGCATAACACTAGCTACACTGATAACAATTATCATTGCTTATCACAACAACAAAAAAAATGATTGAAAAGGTAATAATATCGCTCGTTTTCGACAACAAAACGTTCAAAGCGCTCAAACACGTTCGCAACGGACGAAGTCTTGGCGGACAATAATATCGCGTTCAACAATGGCATGTTGGTAACAGACGCACTGTTAGCACACTTTTAGTACAAACCATGTGTTATGTTCATGTACAGAGATAGAAACAGCTGTTCTGTATCTGGCAGGCATGTCTACTTATGATATTCGAAACGAGTTGGCAGGGCAGGCGCGCGCATTTTAAGCTGCGCAGCATATTTGTGCTGAAGAAATCAATAAAGTTTCTCTGGTAAAATCTCTTCTCGAGCATAACCCGAATATACTTCATAGATAGGGAAATGCAGTATAATCAAAATTTAATAAGTGTTCAATGTTAACACTATTTTTTCATCCAATTACCCCAAGTGTCAAATAGGCCAAAATATCGACAAAACAAACGAAACGCAGCAGCAACAGAAATAGAAACAGCGAAAATTCAAAACCCAAAGCTCTCGAATCGATAAACTCAGAGGCTGAGGCTTAGGCTGTAAACACACACAAATCAACCCCCCTCAACCAACACAAGAAAAATTCCTATACATAACAGCAGCAGCAGCAGCCGGAAAAAGAAGCAACTATGGCTTATGTGAGTTCTGCATATTGCATATATTAGGTCTGATCCAATATTTAATAACCACTCAACCACTTTAACAGCGCTTGAAGGCCACTAAGTGTCCCACGGACGAGCTATCCCTGACGAATCGAGCCATTGTCAACGTGGGCGATTTTCCCGAAGATGTCATGTGAGTTGGAAAAGCTTCTGTTTGTGGCAGCTAATTCATCTGTTTTACATATATTCCATTTTGTTCAGCTATGCGGACATTTCGCCCGCACCTGGACAGCATTTCATCTTTGCGCTGGAGAAGTCCCTTGAGGTGCCCAGAGGCTATGTGGGCTTCTCACTTGTGCAGCGCAAATGGGCCATGCTCTCCATTAACCAGGACCTGGAGGTGCGACCCTATCGATTTGATGCCAATTCCGATGTCATAACATCCGTATCCTTTGAAACTGACTTTCTGCAAAAGAAGACGTAAGTGCTCTTTAAGTGTGTGTGTGTGTAATTTTTAGTTTATTGTTATATAATGGGATATTTGACATATAAATAATCATGTAATAATAATCACTGTCTGAGCACCAAAATAATTATGTAAAAACTAGTAGAATATAGTTAAATTGTATCAGAGAGTAAGTCCCTTAATTTATATATAACTAGCAATATATATATATATAATGTGGTCCGATCCGGTTATGTCCGACCTAAGCAAATAGGTTAGCCAAAGAAGCACAGTTTAAAAATAATAATTTTTATAATGATTTGGTTTTTACATAAATACTTATTTAAATTAAAATGTGAAGGCCCAATTTTTGGTTGAAATTCATTTAATTGCAGCATATCTGTTAACTTGATATAATATTTCTTATGAGCGATTTTCAGATGCGGTCAGCAGGTCCGTTTTATTTACTTTTTGTTTTATATTTCTAAAACTTACTCTTTCTCCCAATCTTGCCCGGTAAACTTACAAATGTTAAAAAATAGGGTTTCCCAGGAGCCATACGATTCGGATGAAATGGCCAAGGAATTTATAATGCAATTTGCTGGTATGGCTTTAACCGTTGGCCAATCGCTGGTCTTCAATTTCAAGGATAAGAAACTGCTCGGCTTGGCGGTTAAATCGCTGGATTCGATCGATCCGAAGAGCCTTGGCGAGGGCAAGGAGCCAGTGATGCGTAATGTTCGCTTTGGTCGCCTCCTCGGTAACACTGTGGTACAGTTCGAGAAGGCCGAGAACAGTTCACTGAATCTGCAGGGCAAATCCAAGGGCAAAGTGGTTCGCCAGTCGATCATCAATCCCGACTGGGACTTTGGTAAAATGGGCATTGGCGGCCTAGATCAAGAGTTCAATGCGATCTTTCGTCGGGCATTCGCCTCCCGAGTCTTCCCACCCGAGCTAGTGGAGCAGCTGGGCTGCAAGCATGTGAAAGGTATACTCCTCTATGGGCCACCCGGCACCGGCAAAACACTGATGGCCCGCCAAATTGGCACCATGCTGAATGCACGCGAACCGAAAATCGTCAACGGACCGCAGATTCTCGATAAATATGTGGGTGAATCGGAGGCGAATGTGCGTCGGTTGTTTGCCGATGCCGAGGAGGAGGAGAAGCGTCTGGGCCCGAACAGTGGCCTTCATATCATCATCTTCGATGAGATCGATGCGATCTGCAAGCAGCGCGGCTCTGTGGCCGGCAACAGTGGTGTTCACGACACCGTCGTCAATCAGCTGTTGACCAAGATCGATGGCGTCGACCAGTTGAATAACATTCTGGTCATCGGTATGACCAATCGGCGGGACATGATTGATGAGGCGCTGCTGCGACCGGGCCGTCTAGAGGTCCAAATGGAGATCAGTCTGCCCAATGAGGCGGGACGCGTTCAGATCCTTAATATACATACGAAGCGTATGCGGGATTTCAATAAAATGAACGATGATGTAGACAACAAGGAGATCGCCTCTCTTACCAAGAACTTTAGCGGTGCAGAGTTGGAGGGTCTGGTGCGTGCGGCTCAATCAAGCGCCATGAATCGTTTGATCAAGGCCGATGCAAAGGTCACCGTCGATCCGGAGGCCATGGAAAAATTGAAAGTGAATCGCGATGACTTCCTGCATTCGCTGGAGAATGATATTAAGCCGGCATTTGGTACCGCCCAGGAGATACTCGACAATATGCTCGCTAGGAGCGTCATCAACTGGGGTCAGCCGGTGACCAATCTGCTCGAGGATGGCATGCTCTATGTCCAGCAGGCAAAGGCTCCCGAATCCAGTGGCGTCGTCTCTGTGCTTATTGCCGGTGCGCCCAATTCGGGCAAGACCGCATTGGCCGCCAAGCTGGCCAAAATGTCTGACTTTCCCTTTGTGAAGGTCTGTTCGCCGGAGGATATGGTCGGCTATACCGAGTCGGCGAAGTGTCTACACATTCGGAAGATCTTCGACGATGCCTATCGCTCCACCCTCAGCTGCATTGTGGTCGACAATGTGGAGCGTTTGCTCGACTATGGACCCATTGGGCCACGTTACTCCAATCTAACGCTGCAAGCTTTGTTGGTTCTGCTCAAGAAACAGCCACCCAAGGGACGCAAGCTCTTGATACTCTGCACCTCAAGCAGACGGTGAGCTGATATCCTGTAAGCTGCCTAATCTGCATCCCATTCTAACATATGTAAATTGCAGGGAAGTGCTGGAGGAAATGGAAATGCTGTCGGCCTTCACCTCGGTGCTGCATGTGCCCAATTTATCCAGCCCGGAGCATGTTACCGCCGTGCTTGAGCAATCCGACATCTTTACCAAGGGCGAAATCCAGGCCATTGGCAAGAAGATGTCCGGCAAACGGTAAGACAATTTCGGCAATCTGAGATTTTCCACAAAAATGCAATTACATTTTATATCTTGTTGTTTCGCCCGCAGCGTTTTCATTGGCATCAAGAAACTGTTGGCCCTAATTGATATGGCACGACAGACGGAACCCTCACAGCGCGCCATCAAGTTTCTATCCAAAATGGAGGAGGAAGGCGGCCTCGATATGGTTGCGCGCAAATAAGTTACAAAATGCAAGCAGGAGTCTAGCAAAAAAAAATTTATAAAAAAAATTGTTTGCAATCTCAATTATTAGCTTCTAAGTGCGAAAAGTTATTTGCCATATACAAGAGCGTTGTTATCATATATATATAAATATATATATATATAAATATATATATATATATATAAATATATATATCTATATATAAATATATATATATATATATATATATATATTCCAAATCTATATACTATAGTTAAATATTCGAAAATTATTCCCGTATAATTGACTCTTAAAAACGCGTTAACCTTGCATTGTTTGTTGGTCCAGTTCCTGGTAGCCCAGAACACTTCCGAGCCGTTCCTAACCCAAAAAGTCAAACACTTCCGTAATGTTTCCCGTGCTATTGTCGACATAGAAGCACGTTCGATCTGTATGCGACAGATATGTGAGACCTGTGACCTGATTTGGTATTGCGGCTGGTATTATAAAAATTACATATTCGTACATATATTATTACAATCAATACTAATCTCAATTGCGATAAACTATACCGATAAACGATAAACGATAAACACGTATATATAGCATACATTCGTAGTTGCATTGTATTTGTTGGTTAACAATACAAAATGATTTCTTTTTTTTTCGTCGTCTTGTTGATAAATGAATATTTTCTGTCTTATTAATCTTAAGAATTTTCCTCAGAAATAGAACACCAATATTTAGGAGACGTCAATCAGAAGAACGTTGTATAGCTTGCAGAGTTTAATATTATTACATATTAATTATAACGCATATTGTTAACCGCCAATGTTATCACTTAAATAAAGAAAAACCGATCTCAAAACAAATATTTTCCTTACATTTATTAACTTGATGATGGCATTTGTATATATAATGTCTGCTACAGTGCACAATTTAACTCATACTACACAGGAATATGCTAAAGCAAATCCCATTTTATTTTGTTGGCCAAACAGAGAGTGTTATACGATAAATAGATTTAAGTTGAAAAACAGCTAAAAAAATATATAAGATTAGCTAAAAAAAATAAAATAGAAACGTGATTTTGTCTTCAGTGGCATCCTTCAATAGTGTAAACTGCTGCTGTCGCCAATAATCGATTTGTTATATGTTTATAGGTCTTGCTAAGAGATGGCACTGCTTGGAGTCTCGGAGAAGAGTGGCTAGATGACGGTACGACTGTGGTTCAGCGACAGTTTGCCACGACGCACGCGACGCTGCAAACGCTATAAAATGATGGAAATTCATCTTTGAGATTGTTTGCAATGTGATTTAACATATGAATGTGTTACCCGATTGAAGACGTCACGCATGATGCGATTGCTGCGACGACGGCGCTCCTCGAGTTCCCGATTCTGTGCGGCGATTACCTCGGGCAGACTTTCGCAGCGTTTGTTGGTCAGCGCCTTCATCTCCTTTGTGGAGAAGATGCGAACGCGTGCTGCAAAATACAAATATAATAAATATTCGTTTCAGATTTGATAATGATTTTGATTTTGAGTTTGTTGTTGCGCTCACAGGTAACTGGTGGCGGCAGCTGCTCCAATCGTTTATCTAGCGTCTCCAGGCTGCTGTTCTCGATGAGTTGATCGAGTTCGCGACGACGCTGATTGCGCAGCAACTGCATCTCATTGAGGATGGCCTTGCGCTGCTTGGATTGCGCACAGAACAGTGGACGGGCGAGCTGCAAATGTTCCTGCAGCGTAAGTGCGTCTGAGAGCAATTCGCTGGCATCGCCACTGGCAGTGAATTGAATGGCATACGCAATTCCACGTGGACGTACCTGCAGCATCTGTTGGCGCTGCTCATGCTGAGCCTGCTGCGCATTATGCTCCTTATGCGCATGGTGATGATGATGCTGATGATGATGATGATGACGCAAGCGTCGGCGCAGCTGCAGCTGCTGGTGGCAGGCAACGTCATCATACTGATGCGTTGTTGTTGTTGTTGTTGTGGTCGCCTCGCAGGCATTAACCATGCCCATCGGTATCGACATCTCCGAGCTAATGCACAGCATCGACGAAGTCGAACTCGTTGATGTGCAGCTATTGCTTGATGCGGCTGCTAATGCAGATTTTTTTCCCATTGCTGTTGCTGCTACTATTGCTACTTTTGTTGTTGCTACTGCTGCTGCTGCTGCTCCTGCTGCTGTTGGTGCTGTTGGTGCTGCTGGTGCTGCTGCTGCTGTTGCTGCTTCCGTTGTGTGCACGTAGCAAGGCGCTGATTGAGAGTTAACTACTTGATAGTAGACAGCTCCCTCATCCAGGCAGCTGTAATCATTGCCCATTCCATGTGCATACTGCATTTGTATATAATGTTGTTGTTGTGGTTGCTGCTGTTGTTGTTCCTGTTGCTGGCACTGATGCACGCGTTGATGCTGTGTGGCACAGAAAATAGAAACAATTAAGTTATTTCGATTACGCAAGACTTATAAACCTAGCTGATATATATATATATATATACATATATAAATGATTATCTGGAGTAGTATGTATCATACCAATTGGCAAGTTGGATGCAAATGTTGTTGCTGGCGATGGATCAGCTGCTGTTGCTGTTGCTGCTGATGTTGCTGCAGCATGAAGAGCTGTTGTTGCTGCTCGAGGCGCTGCTGCTGCTGATTCTGATAGTGGGCCATAAATTGACGCTGACGTTGCTGGACAAAGGAGCAGACGCTCTCGCTGCTGCCCGAATGGCTGAGCGTGTTGGGCGTTGCCATTTTGCTGCGCTGTATCTGTCGTTGGACAGCCGCTAGTGGGTGCATTGGCGGCGGTATCGGTGGCAGTGGTCGTGACACTAAAGGTGGAGGTGGAGGTGGTGGTGGCGTTGGTGGTGGGGCTGGTATTGTTGTCGGTGCTGATGCAACAATTTGAGCAACTTCAACTGGAACTGTGACTGCATTTGGCAGCGGTGTTGAAACTGGTGTCACTGGTGGTGCTGGTGGCGCTGGACGCTTCGGTTGACGCTGGTTGGGTTCATTCGTAGTTGGCACATCAATCCTTCGAATCGGAATGTTTGTATTAGATGGGGGCGGTGATGACAAATGTGCCTCTCTCTTGGCGTTGTTCAATAGATTTTGGAGCATGCGCAGGCGCCGAATCTCCGTCTCGATCCAGTCCAATTGCGAACGACGCTCCTTGTCCAGAGTTAAGCGCAACTGTAGTCGCTTCTCTTCGTAGTCGATCTCACTTTGGGTCATCGGATGAAGCCATTCTCGCATGGCAAACAGATCGGCAGCATCTGCCGAGCTCCTGGACTTTGACCGTAAGTTCGTCTTTTGAGTGACCAGCTCATTGGATGCGCCGCTGCTTGTCGATCCGTAACTGCACGACTGCAAAGGTGATTGAGAGGGCGTGGCTACGCGAGTTCTAGGCGCAGGCACAGGGGCAGAAGCATCAGCAGCAGCAGCAGAAGCAGGTACTGCTGCTGCTGCAGGAGCTGACACAACAGGAGCTGGCGTCAATTGTTTCGCCATTGATTTGTCCAAGGTGGACCTATTGCTCGTATTTGTGGCTATGTCTCTGCGCCACTGGCTCAGCGTATCTGCAAGGAGAGCAGGAATAAATCAATCAGGGTCAACCAACAAATAATATACATTCAACCAGTACAACTTACCCTTTGAATGGCTATCATTGTTGGTGGTCTGCTCTTGTTGTTGCTGTTGGTGTTGCTGTTGCAGCTGCAATTGCTCATGCTCCTTGTGCTGGCTAACAGATTTGCTAAGCCGGGAGCTGCGAGTGGACTCGGCTCGACTGTTGCTGCTGCTGCTGGACACAAGATCGAGACAGGCTAGGCGCTTGGCAATGTCCCGAATTAGCTGCTTTTTCTGGCTGTGGCTTAGGCTGCGCTTGTTGACCAGCGAACAGAGCAGATCTATGCCCAAATCCAGATCCCCTCGACCAGGCGGACAGGAGACGGAGGAGGCAGCCGATGAGGAGGCGCTGGATTTAGCGCGCGAAGATGGCGGCGGCGGCTGTGGCTGTTGATTCTCCTTATTCTTCTGTCGACGATTGTTGCACAGCACTTGCTGCAACTGGGCGGTATACTCGCGCTCCTGACGCTGCTGCTCCACATGGCGCAGCAGCTCCTCGGCGCTAAGCGTGTGCCGACTGCTGTTGCTGCTGCGACTCGTGGCGGCGGTGGAGGAGGGCTGCGAGTTATGGTGGTGGTGGTGGTGTTGATAGTCAAAGCTGCTCGCCGCTGATGTGACGCCAGATTCACGGCGTGAACTCTGGCTGGGCGCTGGCGTTGTCATTGTCTGGCTATTGACAAAGGTGCTGGAAGCCAACGGCGGCTGCGCAGACGAAGGCGGAGGCGCCGACGCCTCGTGTTGCTTCTGCTGCTGCTGGTGCTGCTGCTGCTGTTGCAAACGATTCAAATCGGATTCAGAACGATTTGGTTGTATGGCCGCCTCTAGCACAGAGCGCTCCAATGTGCTAATATTGCTGACGGATGCGGCACGCTCACAGCGATAGCCCACATCGGCAGCTGGATCCCATTCCAAGCGTTTGTGCGATTTTAATGCCGATTCCGGTGTTTGCGTCTTGCGCGTCTGCATTTGTGCCGTTGGTGTCTGCGTGCCCTTTGTTGGTGTGCGCAAATCCTCAACAGAAACGGATGCAGTCGGTTTGCTGCTGCTGCTGCTCGCTATCGTTTCCATGACGATCGGAATGTTAATTATTTGTGGTGCTTTACTTTTGCTACGCATGCATTCCATGGCAGCTGGACAGGCAGCTGTTGTTTTTGTTGTTGTTTCTGCTACTGCTGCTGTTGTTGCTGTTTCAACCACCATTTCGCTGCCGCAGTGACTGTGACTGCGACGGCGGCTGCCGCTGCGCATTGCGTCGGTGCTGTGCGCGCCAACGCTGACGCTGCTGCTCGCTGGCGAGGATGATGATAATGCCATGAAGCGCTCCAGCTCTAATTCGCGTTCGTTTGGCAGCTCAGCGAGATATTCTCTTATTTTAGGCGTCAAGCGTGATGTGTGCTGCATTTTCCTTTCATTATGTTGCTTTTTATTATTATTGTTTGACATACTATTTGATCAAACACACAACTCGAGCATTGCTTGGGTTTATTTTTCAAATTCGAGTGCCTGAAGAAGTAAGAGCGAGCAAGCAAGTCCAAGTGCTCACAAGCCAATAAATTACTTCTATGTCTATCGATATGCAGCGATAACAATATGTACTCAGTCGAATCGTTAAATTCAAATGCTGATAAGCCAGTAAAGCCATCAAAGCTTAAATTGGCGCTATGTTAGCCAACTCAGAGAGATATTCTCTTATTTCAGCAAGATCATCTTGATAATTATTTGTACACTTATGGAATGACCCATATATTTGGCTTTTCTGAGGATCGTCTTTTGAAAATCGAATGCATTTTGAAAGTGTGTACACACCAACACCTAGTGGGCAGTGAGCGAACGGAGAATATATCGATAATGAACGAATAGTAACATTCATTTTTAAATTTTCAAATGTAATCGCCGTTATAAGTGATTTTGGATAAATTCTGATTCTGTAAATTTGTTGAAAACCTTTGTCATATAGCACATTACACAGTGTGGAATTTATTCTCGTTAAAATTAAACAATTTTTTCTTTGTATTTAAATATCTATCCGAACTTTATTTATATGCGTTTAACGTGGATTATTATTGTGTTGGCCGACTTAGTAAATAATCGAGCCACTATATCATGTACATTGTTACCATAGGGGTATTGTAGGGGTATTTAAACTTCTCCAGTTTAGGGAAAGCTTTATTTTCCCTTTATGTATAGACCGCTTCGCATATCAATAAATGCAATGTCAATCGATTTAATCGAATCGTTTGACCCACAAATTTTGCCCCTGATCAACAAGGAGCGGGAAGTTCATATGAATACATTCTGTATAAAAAAAAACAAACAAACATATATTAACATATTTTAAACAAACGCCAAACAAAATATACTTATTGATTTTATAGGATGAAGTAGCAATACCCCAGAATTTAAATCTATCTTGCTATGTAATTATAGACAGTTAGATCTAAAAGCACATGACCTGAATTTTCAATTCAATCTCAAAATTTAAATGCATTGATGTAACAAACAGTATAAATGATTAATTAGTGTTCTTGTAGCTATTATATGCATATAAGCCCTGCCCTCAATTAAAGCAGGTGTGACTTTAACTCTGTGTGTGTGTGTTTTTTTTTTGGGTGCTTGCTGAGACCATTTCTTGCAGATCATTGATCGATTTCTGTTTTTTTTTTGTTTTTTGTTTTGTGTTGAGGACTATTGTCCTATGGCCACTGTTTCATGTATCGCATGATTATTTGCGTTTTCCATCACAACGTTGAGAAAAAAGTATAAATGACTAGGCCGACACGAATCTTCACCGCTTATGCTCCAGGGGCGGGAACGAGATTGAGATGGGCGCGGCAGTTCTTAGCGCATCTGCATCTGTTGTCCACGCTGCTGTCCACGATCGTAGAACAATAAATAGGCGGGCACACTCAACACCTCATCAATGGACACCTCACGCACAATCGTATCCGAAGTGTAAAACCAGCTGAAATGTTTTTTAAAGAATATAAATCAATTTTAAAAGACTTCAAACGCTGGATCGTTCTCATCAATTTGTGTATGCCAAGTCCACTTCGATGGGATGACTCACCGATGGGCATTGCGCAGCGAGCCGCGTCGATAGGTGACAAAGTGTCCGCTGTTCGCCTCGCCGGAATGCACGACAACCGCCAGCAGCCGGTATAGATTTTTGGGAAACATTGTGCCAAAGCACTCGCCACCGGCGCCGCCGCCATTATTCATGGGCAGACTGGAGGAATACAGGGACATCGTGGAGCCCCAAGGAGTGCCCGCCTGTAAGGGAAAATAAAAAAATGTTTTAGCCTCTGCAGACAAATGGAAATTATTTATGTACAAATAATAATTTAGTTTGTCACCATTTATTTCTAATACAAGCAGATAAATGAGTTCGAAGTTTTTATTATATTAAAGCTTGTATTTTTTTGGGTTTGGTGAATATATGTCGATAGTGAAACATACATTTTCGATAAGATGCTATAATATAATAGTTATATTATTATATTATATTGCTTTTCCTCAAAATGAAATGAATCACAGGTTTCGCAGAGACTCACCTGACTGTTGAGATGCGGCTGAACGAAGCTGTAGGGCGCCATGGATAGACTCTCGGGGAAGTGCACGTAATCCTGTCGCTTGCACAGCTGCCCAGTGTTTAGCCAGATGGTGCGGGCAATATGAATGCAGAGGCACGCCGGCAGCTTGGCGAACGTAACGGATTTGGTGTGCATTGTTGTCTCGTTGCACGAATCGCATTTGACATCGCTCAGATCCTCGGAGGTGATGTACTCGCTTAACAGATGCCCCAAACTTAGTCCGGAACGACGCTGCTCGGGCAGATTCAAGGTGACACTATCGAATTTATCATATCGCACCGCCGACTTGGAGCCGCAACCGTTGCAAACGATTTGGGCGCCCATGGCGCCCTGAAACGGATGCGCCACCTGACTGGGCATCATACTCGACCAAATGGACACGCGTCCAGGTCCACGGTTAAGGCGCTCCAACGAGCGACACGAGCTCGAAACGCGTCGATTGAGGCCGTCAATGTGCTGCAACTGCGACTGCTGCGACTGCGGTTGGCGAGGGCGCGACAGACGCTCGCCTCCCAGAATGGGTGAGCCATTCAGCGGCAGCTGTGGATTAATAAAATCCATTGCGGCAACTGCGGATTGATAGCCAAACGGTGAATGACCCGAAAATGATGCAGTCGCACCCGTTGGAGTTAAAATATCCGCCGACTCACGTTCGCAAACAGAGGCTGGAGAGTCGGGAGTATGCGCTTCAGAGCGCACCAGACGCTGCAGGTTGGTAGACTCATCGTATTCCATATTGAGAAAATCAGAGAGCATGGCACTAGATGGCCGGTTAGGCTGGTCCCCAATCCGTTGACCTACAGCGGGCACATTGCGATAAGCCAGCGGCGTCATTGCGCCCGTATCATTAAAATCATTGCTAGCTGCTTCTGATGCTGTTGTTAGGCCGGTTGGCAATAGCGCATCCGACAGGCAGCCCATTTGCTGTGGCCGCGTTGCCTCCTCCTCCAGTGACGACAAGAGCACATGGAACAGCTCATGTGCATCGTGCTCCTCCTGCGGTATGACCCAGCCGAGTGTGTTCAGTGCACGCAGCACTGCACCCGGTGAATGGGGATCACCGCGAAGTGTTGCATGCGTCCCATTTATCACCTCTAAGGTGCTCAGCATCGAGCTAATCAGGCTTTTGCGATCGGGCGTGGCGCCATTATACAATTGCAGCCAGGCAATAAATTGCGGGCAGGCAGCCAGCGCCTGCAGCAGTGTATTCAGAAAGCAGGTGCGCCCAAAATTGTGCAGTCCAGCGATTTGACCGCGACGCTGACGCAAACGGGAGCCTGAAAAATGCACCGGCGAATTCATACAGATTGTTTTGTTAAATGTTTAAATGAATATCTGTCAATCACTTACCTGATGGACCCCAAAAGACGAAAGCACCAACCACAGCGGCGACAGTGACACCGGCAGCCATCAATATCTTTTCACTTTCCATGTTGCAGTGGGTGGCAGGATGGCAAGGGAGTTATTGGTTGTGGTTGGTGGGGCACACAGCACTGTGGCTACAACATCGGTTGACATTAGCAAACACAAAACACTCTACACTTGGTGTAATGTGATGGTCGCCGTTGTTATTGTAGAGTGCGTTACTTACTGCAGTTTACTGATATTTTGTTTGTTTTTTATATGTGCTTAACAAAAGTAACATTAGCCCGAAAAAAAAAATTCTGAAATTCTTCTATACTATTGAGTCTGTCGATTGTCTGATTAGTTTGTCGGGTTGCCACATTGTCGGGATTTGTGCTGTGCTGTTACTGTTTTTGACTGTACAGCAACGCTTGGCTTTTTAAATTAATATGCTGAGACCCAAACATATATTACCAAAAATATTGTAATGTAATTAAATAGGATGTATTTATTTAAAGCGGCAGCTTGTTTTTTTATTTTCAAAATCACTGAATTAATATTACACTGCGCTTTGTTCGTCTAACTATTAATGTCGGTTTGTCAGAATGTGGCAACGCTTGTGCGGTCAGGCTAGTACGCTGCATAACACCAGCTGTGCCGAAGGCAAGATATTTTATCCAGTATATAAACAATAATTGTTAAGGACAAATATTATAGTGGAAGTCACGGGACACTCGAGACACAAGTAGCGTAAAGTTGAAAGGTAAGCTGTATGGCATTAGGTGGTTAATGTTCCCACTTACTGATTTCATGCTATTACAAATTTGCTGAGCTGCATATGCGCTTTTATTCTCGAATGTTGTGGAACATATGGGAACAACAACACAGCATAGCGAGCACAATAAACAAAGCTGGCCTGCGTTAGTTGAAATCGAAATTTGTACATTCATAAGATTATTACTCACATTACAATTTGGACTTCGAAAGCGCATGAAGCGTTCGCGGTAGAAAAAATGTTTAAAATTTTCTGAAAACATAAAATTCCAAACTCCAAATTAAATTGTGCAAGTGTTTTTCGAGAATATAAAAAAATAAATTTGATATTTTCGAGTTTGTTCTTATTGGAGGTAAGTTTATGTGGTGCCTGTGTTTTCATATCGATGTGTACTCGAAATTGTTGCAATAATTGTGCCATCCTCCCCAACCACCCAACCGCGCCGTCCTTGTGTCAAATTTAAAATACACACACAAATACACACATCCCAGCATGCAAAGCTGCGCTGCTGCGCAATAGTCGAATTTTCGTCGTTTCTGTTTTCATTGGCTGCTTTATTATCGTCTCTTTGTTTATGTCGCCATTTCGTTGCGAGGGGCAGTTGTGCAATTTGCTCTGCTTCTGTGCGCTAATTTTGGAAACTGTGTCAGCACCACAGATTCAAATTCCAACATTTTATTTTACATACATATATATTTCGATCTAGGTTACGAATGTTTCTTTACATATCCCTCCCCCTCCACATCATTTTCTTCTGTGTGTGAGCGTGTGTGAACTGTAACTGCAAGGTGGTTGCTTGCCTTCATTACTGTTCTTTCTGTTTCTCTTTCTTTGTTGTCTCGCATACTAACACACAAACGTACACTTTTAACGGTTGTTGCCTTGCGTTCATTTTCAAAGTCGCATTTCGTCAGCATTAAGGGCAGAACGTACAACTCTGACTCCAACAGTCTGTGCAAATTGCAATATTCTATATCTTGTATGATCTGAATTGTTATGATAGTTTCTCGCAATATATTCTATGTTTTATCAGTAATATTTGTAATATTTAAAGAACTGTAGAATTGCATCAGTTGTCCATTTTTTTGCACGATACAAATTGACCCTGAGCTGAGATGCAGTTTGACAAAAGTCTTTGCTTTGTGCTTCCTTCTGAACGCGGAAGCGAATCGCAATTACAACTTATAAGGAAAAACACGCTTTATTCCATATTTGCAGAAAACCAGTTGCACGACGAAAAAAAAAATCAATTAAAAAAAAAAAAGAAAAAAGATTGAAACAAAGGAAACCAGCGCAGCTTAAAGCCATCTATTGGAAAGCAGCGATCAATATATATAAATATATATATATCCAGTGAAAATCAAAGTAATAAGGAAAAAATGGACTCTAAGGAGAACAATGAACAGCAACCGCAGAAGAATCAAGACAACGATTTGCGGCTGCGGACGGACAGCGAAAGCTCCACGGACAGCATGACGCGCTTCCTGATACCCAGCGTCGCTGGCAGCCCGCCCAAGGTGGTAACCATGGATGAAGTAGCCAGCATGTTCAAGAATCTCCAAAACATGGAACTAGCCCATGAGATAGCACTCAATCCCGAGTTTAAGCTGCAGCCATATGAGCCACCCATGGACAGGTGAGTCATCCAACTTGCTTTCTTATCTCCCATTTCCTCTGTCCCTGAAATCTTATATATCTCCCTCCCTCTCACTTGCTCTCTCGCCTTAATTTACGGCTTTCATTCCGCTTGCAGTATGGAGGGTCGCATCAAGACCATGGTGCACAAGGCATTTTGGGATATGCTGCGCGAGCAACTGGAACGTCAGCCGCCGTCATACGATCAGGCCATTCGATTGCTGGGCGAGATTAAGGAGGATTTTCCGCAGCTGTTGTCGGTGAAGAATGCAAGCGCTTTGGGTCGCATCAATGCGGCATTGGATGAGGCACTAATCAGACAGCAGGCGGAGAAGGGCACCTTGGATTTCAGGGCATATGCGAACTTTGTGATCCATCTGCTGTCCAGCATGTGTGCGCCGGCGCGAGATGAGACTGTGGCCAAGCTGCGCGAAATCGATGATGTTGTCGACACATTCCGCGGCATATTGGAGTGCATGTCCCTCATGAAGCTGGACATGGCCAATTTTATGCTCTCCGTGGCCCGCAACGATATTGCTGCCAACTCTGTCGAATACGAGAAGCAAAAGTTTAGCAACTATTTGCGGGAGTTTCATGGAAATGGTGCGTATATTGAGGCAGCAGCTCAGGCAGCACAATATTAATTGCCTTGTTTTCTTTTTAGCTGGTTTTCCGTCCACCGAGGATTGGCTGCAGCGCAATCGTGCAGGATGCAACAGCAACGACGACATCATCTACAATGCTTGCATGCAACTGCTGGACTATCCGGCTGACAAAGAATTTCCCGAACTGCTGCGCATCGACAAGGATCGCTTTGCCGGTCTCAGCTGGCGCGCACAACGACTAATCCTGTGCGCCTCGCTCATCTCAATAGCGCAAAGTGTGCCGGTTATATCGCAACGACGCGAGAATCGCATTAAACTGGCCCAGCAGCTGGAGGTGCTGGTGCAGCATGTAAAACAAAAGGAGTAAGTGTTGCAATGTTGCAAAGTCATATATATAAATCCGTTATTAATGTGCTCCTTTTCATCACTAAAGTCAACTGAACGCTGCCATTGATAACTGCTATGAGCAGATACGCGCATTTATTAATACTTCACTAGCCAGCGAGGAGCTGCCCCCGCTTACCGAGTCCCAGGAGGCTCAGCTGAAAACTCAGGTGCTCCAGCTGACCAACAAGGCGTCGCCCGTCCGCACCCTAATGGGTAAGTGCCTGGCACCAAAAGAAGCCAACTTGCTTCCTTGCTATTAAAATAATTACAAAAAACAATTTGAATTAAGGAAGACAAATTTTGTATGTTTCTTTTTAATTGTGTGGAACGCAATTTTATGCATTGAAATAATGAAACCTTTCACTTTAAATTTATTATAGCCAATCGCTTGGATGGCTTTGTGCGCGTCGCTTTGCGCTCCAATGGCAATATACCGCCGCCACCGCCCGGCTTCATTGACTATGCGGAGGAGCTGGTTGCATTCATTGCCTCGTTCCGTCGCCTCGTCTCCTACAATCATGCCGTCTTCGGCGAGTATTTTATGCAGCTACTCAACAAGCAGCATTCGAACACCGAAGAGCCTGTGGCCAGCAGCAGCAGCAACAATCTTTCGGCTGGTTTGGCCTAGAGAGGGAGACAGAGAAAAAGAGAGAGAGAGAGCGCAAGCGAGAAAGAGAGAGCGCAAGCGAGAAAGAGAGAGCGCGAGCAAACAAAATAGCTAAAGCATGAGAGAGATAGAAAGAGCGGAAGACGCAACAAATATGTATGTCTGCTGGTGGATAAAGCATTGGAAGCGCGAGCACGTCAAGTGCTGAAAATATAACTAGCTATATATCGTTTATATATATATGTATGTTAGCGGAAAATAACTCACAAAAATATGTGGAAAGCACTCGCAACCAAAACTCGCCCAAAATCCCCTAACTGACCTGACGTAATAGTTAATTTTGTTATGTTTAATTGTTTAAGATATTGACAAACACAGAAAAAGAACGATCATAACTATGATGCTATGGCCAAAAGCCAAGAGGAACAAATGAAAAATTGGGATAGATAAACAATGATCTTACAAATCCCCAAACCTGTAGTGGGGTCTGTGCTGCGGTGGGCGTTTGTGATAGGAGGAGAACTACAAATATATAAAAGTACGGGAAACACACACGACAAAATGAACAACTTGCTGAATGGGGCTAAAGAACGCCTGGGCAAGCTCACGCCCCCTTTTCCCACCCCATCCCCGATCATCATTACCACCAAAAAAATAAAAATCAATAAACCTTCAATAACAGCAACAACTATTGGCAGCTGCAGGTTTATATATAAATATTAACAAAAATGTAATCTTATTTACCTTATCCTAAATAAAGGAAATGAGCTGTATTAACATTAGTTGTTAAGCCACTCTAATCAATGTCTATGCATAACTTTATATTTATATATATATGTACATATGTATATGTATTTATAAACATATGTACAATATATAGTTAATGGTTCTACTTATTGATCCACGTTTCATAATGTGCTAAGATCTAATCACGATATATAATAATTTACCCATATACAAATCGCGCTCATTTTTATGGGTGCGTGCAATAAATTGAATCGAATTACTTAAAGAAACTTAAATGCAAATTGAAGTGTGTTTTTTTCATGTTGGATTAGCTGATACAATAGCTGATGATATCAGCTATGATTGGCAACTGGAGGGCAGTTTGTTAAGTACTATTGAATTAAACTAAGGTGCAGATCATATTTAGTTATACAGAAAGTAAATATTTTCTCGATTCGGAAGGCAGATGCTTTAACAACCTTTATATAGAGTCTACACTGTAGACCCAATTGGGTACCACGAGATATTCTTGGCAAATAATCTTTTAAAACTTAACCAATTTTCAGTTATCTCAGGTTTGAACTGAGAGTGTCTAAACTTGCCTGCATAAAGCGATATGTGTCTAGAAGCGAATTTCTAATTTTTTGCCTGCGGATTAGACCTTAATGAATTTATATATATTAAAGAGATTCAATATGTAAAAAAGAAAAAACAAAATCTGTGAGCAGTCCAGACACCAACCACACGGCTGTGGAACCGAATATCAAGCGAATAAGACGCTCAAGCAGTTCAGATGGTTTCAGAACCAAATATACAGCGAATAAGGCACTCAAGCAGTGTGTTGGGAGAGGAACATTGCTCGTCGGCCTGCGGGTTGATGTACCGGCTAAATGTGATGTGTGTATCGATGGAAGGTGTCTTCACTTATCGCTTAATGAACGTCGGCCAAGTGCAGCAATTACAACAGCAAAAGCCAGACCAGATGTGCGAATACGTATGTATATATATATATATATAAATATATACATCGTACATGTATGCGAGTGTTGGCATAATAATAATAAAGAGAATAATAATAATCACGCCACTTGCTGTACTTTAGCACTTGAGCCTCCTCGTTGTTTGCCGACGCAGTTTCGAGCAGTTGATTGCCACACACTGTTCTTTGCCACGCCCCTTCCGTTGCACTTAACGCCCACATTTCAAGAACACCTCATCCTGATCGCCTTATCTCGCAAATGCTGCAATTGCTCTCTCCACCACATACGTATGTATACTATACTATACAGTATATATATATTTATGACTTGAATTCTACGTTTGGAGCGATGTTATTTTTTTTTGTTTTTTTGTTGACGTCTTTATTGGTCTGATAAGAAATATGCCTTGTCAACTGAACGTCACCCCACTCTTCCCAAGCCCCTCGTAATCGCCAACACTTGAAAGACTTCCAAGCACTGCCGTCTTCGTCATATGTAGAACAACCGCAAAGGGGGTGACGACCAAAGTCCATTAAAGCAGCTCCCATTTTCACTTGATATTAGTAAATTTCCACATCTTGCGGGCTGCTTCAACCAACAACATCATCGTCAATAATCATTACGAACCTAAGTCCAAACCAGCTTTACCAGTACTCCAACCAAGCATTACGGGGAAAAAACAAAACCACAGAAACCACAAAAAAAAATAGAATAATAATATCACACACAATAGCTTTGAATGGTCGACCTTTAAATACGCTTTAAGAAATTTGCTGACACGTCGTAACTCAAATAAAGTTCTCTGGTAACTGCATAGAAAATCAACATTAACTTTACAATATATATATACATTTATATAACACACATAAGTATATATATATATATATATATATATATATATATATATATATATATATATACATTTACATTGCATGATCAAGCCAATTAACCCTACAGCAAAGACCATACCCTGCATAAAGAAGAATTTATTAAGTATGTACAGACAACAAACAAGAATCTGATCGCCTGTCTTTTTTTTTTGGGAATTTATTCCAGGCACATACAAACATGCATATACAAACCCATATATATGTATGTATGTATGCATGCACACATATATAATTATTGACCTTCTCCTTAAATGCTTTCCACGAGATTCCCATTGCTTTGGAAGTCCCAAATGGCATTCCAGCTATGCAAGCTGCATGCAGCTCTATAACCAAAATTGGGTTCGCTTCGAAATGCGCTCGGGCATACAAAATAAGCGAAAGCGAAATGAAAACGAAAAAAGCAAGATAACTCTTTTTGGTAAGCCGAATTTAACATACCCTTCCCTTGCACAGTGAAAGAGAGTATATATATATATCTGTATATATATGGTAAAGAATGAAAAAATACAATAACTAGCTAATTATTAAAGTTTCTTATTTATAAACTTATTTTTGCCGTATTGTCTCTTTCAAATATGATGAAGAAATTTAAAGTGTATAAGCAACATCAAATTACGTTTTTTGTTTGTTTTTTTGTCCCACTGCTGCTTAACATTAACATCGTCATTATCGATGCAATGAGCAAACAGGAACAGAGCCTCAGAGCCCAAAATACCAATAAGCATGTAGAATTAGTATTGGAAATTTTTGTAGAATTCGGCATTCACCGCCACCTTCGTCCCCTTTTATAACAGGCTGCCCATGCTTAAGCTGTGTATCTGTATGTGTGTGTGTGTGTGTGTGTCTGTGTTATCTATATCTATAAATAGGCCCTTCGCGGTAAAACACAACTGCTGAACTTTATACATACATACATATATTGAATTGGTACCTTCTGGCACCAGGTGAGTTCTGCAGATAACGAAAACCGATTCGTTACCGTGCAATTTAATCACGAGCCAAACAACACCGCAACAATGCTGTCGTCTAGTTAAAAAAATAAATAAATAAAAAATGGGCCACATATTGTGGCGTCATAACAAAAACCAGGCTTATACACTGGGAAAAAAGAATTCCAGAACTTTGTACAGTCGCCAAACCAAATGAAATTGTACAAAATTATATTCCACTTATACACTTCAATTTGAAGCCATGTGTTTCTCTGAATGCAGATACATTTATATGGGCGAACAGCAAATAGCACAAATAATCGTAAAAAAAAAAAGAAATCACAATTTGATATGCCATATCTCTATGATTTGCAGAACAAATAAAAACAAATTCCTCAATAGAGTAGAAGAATAGAATGGCTATTAAAAAAACAATATAATTAGACCATTCACCGGAAACCCTATCGCTCAACTTCGTAGCATTATATAGTATATATATATATATAGTATCAATGATTTGCACACAATGATTTTTTTGTTTTTTACTGCACCAATTGTTTTATGCCAAAGCAATTTCGATTATTTTATCCACTTGATAAATTCTACATTAGCAATTTTCTGATTTTTCTTCAAATTTACCTGGCTAAGATTTCAAATTCAAATAAAAAATACGTTGGCAAAGGTGAAGCGAATTTGCATATCTGATTAACTACAATAATACTCTGTAGAGTGGGACAATAAGAAGATAGTCTTGTACGTCACACTGGCATCAATCAAAACAATATGTACGTTATCTCTCCGATTTACGATTCAGGCTTTAGTAAAGTATAAAATATATATGTACGTACATATATATAAAAACACTTGGACTATTATAAAACGCAATCAAGTACAAAATTGTTAAGCACGATAAGCTCGGGCTGTAATTTTACTAACTCACCGATTTTGATTTGGGTAAACTTAATGGGGGGAAAACTTTATCTAAATAGAACATACATAGATCCAAGCAATCCAAAGTCCCAATCACTGTAGAGACGGCACTGCGAGATATCTCCACGTCTGGAAGCCTTCCAGCTCGTTCGAGCGCATACCACACCATATAATACTATACTAGGGCTTATCGCTGTTGGAAAAAGTGGGGACTTTGGAATAGGAAATGGAACTGTTCGAGTCATCGTAAAATTGGGCCACAGCCTGCATACTCATATATATATATATATCTATATTAGAACGAGCGTGCTACAAATAATATGAAATGCCTTTTGTCTGATGATTTTTTAAGACCCCACCTCTTGCGGACAGTATCTACCTTTCGTAACGATAATAATTCACATTCCTTTGGGTTTTACTTTATTATTTTTTTTTTGTTGGTTTCTTCAGGTTTATTATTATTAATTTTCCATAAAGTAATTAGTTTTGTGGTTTGTTAGAGCAAAAGTATTTAAGGTATATTTTTCATATATATAAAGCATAATTCATCATTATATCATCAGCTAAGATTAGGATACATATTAAGCATAATTAAAAAAAAACATCAGTATTTTATATATCATTAAGCATGCAGGATAAGCAAGACTGATCAGAGACTGATCTCTCTTTTTCGCTTGCGAATCGATCTGGCTAGATCAATGACATATATATATATATATAATTATATTATTCACGGAAGGGGCCATTACATATATACAATATATAGAGTGCATATATGTATGTGTATACATTTCTATGTACGTATATTTAGTATAATTCTTTCCGATTTTCTTTGTTATTTTTAGGCATATTCTCCATTCAGTGCATGTGTGACACATGGTCGCCAGGTGGCGCTTTCTATTTTTTTTTTTTTTAAATTTAGCACAGCTAAAAATGTATAGAAAATTATAAAAAAAAAGACTTTTACAACTACAACTTATATCAATATACAAATATAAATGTGTGTATGTATGTGTGTGTGTGTGTATATAGGTGTGAAGTTGTGTTGTGGGGTATGTGTGTATGTGTGTGTGTATTACTTGAAATAAATATTTACAAAGCAAACGCGTGAAGGCGGTGATGGTTGAGGGGGAGGGGGGTGGTGGTTTAGGAGTGGCTGCCTTTCTCTCTAAAGTTTCATTTGGTTGGTCTTACAAGAAAAAAAAAATGAAAAAATATTTAAAATTAAAAAGCTAAATAAGAAAATGAGCAGCACGTGAGAGGCGTTTATTATGGGGGTGTGGTGGGTGCGACGGTTATTATTATTCTTTTCTTTTTTTTTGTTTTAGTGGTGCGAGGGGGGAGTTTCCAACCGCTTCACATGCGATTTTCCCCCTCGCTGCTGCTTCCTGCTACACAATAATAAATTTACTGTCCAGTTGAGGACGCCGATGCTGGTGGTGCTGCTGAAGATTTGCTCTTCGACGAGTTGTTGCTTTTGGCCATTGTTGTTGGTGTTGTTGTTGTTGCTGCTGTTGCTGTCGGCTTGGAGTTTGTGGCGCCACTGCCATAGGGTGTGGGTGTGGTGTTACTGTTGTCACTGGCTAGCGTCGACTGCTCGACATTTGTGCCCATCGACGAGTTGATGAAATTGATGTACTGATGCAGCTTCAAGGCGGCGATCAGCGAACTCAGATAGTCGTTGATGTTGCCCTGCTGGACCTGCTTGATCTGTCGGGAGACATTTCTATAGACTCGACGCGAGATCTTATTGGATAAACGGCCGACGGTCTGTACGGTGTGTAGTACTGGGTCCTCGCTGGCGGAAACTGGCACTGCAAAATTAGAAAAAAAAAAGAAAGGAAAAAAAAAACAAAATGGTTTGAAAATGTTCTTTAAATGCGGTTGCAGTAATCGTCGCTCGGACATTGGAAATTGATGTGAATCCGAATTTGAATCAGAATCAGCAACAAATTTAAAATGTTCAATCGATCGATTATTGCATTTTGTTTGCTGCGTGCTGCTGGTGGCAGTGGTTTTGGTATTGGTTGTGGAGTGGAGTGGAGTATGGTGGTGTGGTGTGGGTGGTGGTGGGGTGGTTAGTATAAGCTTCGAGGAGTTTTTGCGGTTTGCGGGTAAATAATAATTAATGTGTTAGTTTCGCTTGCTTACCATCAGCTTGTTGATTTCCCTATCGATAATGCCTACGATCTCTGGATTTCTTCTAACGTACTCAACAATTTCGGTTATGATTTTCAACGACATGGACAGAAATACCGTGGAGGCGGCTACTAAGAATCTAGTGTCAATCTCTTGATCATAGTCGGGCTCCCCAACAACAACAACTACAAGAGAGAGAGAGAGAGAGAGAGAGAGAGAGAGAGAGAGAGAGCAAAGAGAGATAACAGACGGAAGAGATAGAAGAATAGAGAATTGTTTTTTTTTTAAAGCAAATTTTAGTCAACTCAGCATGCACAGCTTAGAGGAAAATGTAATAAAAGGGCATAAGAGAGACGAGGGGCGTGGTAAGGGAGGGAGTGGTGGTGGTGGTAAAATGGAACCAGTTCTTATGTATATATTATAGCCCTTGGGTAAACTGTTTGAAGAGGGGGTTGGGGAGAAGGACTGGATAGTTTTATAGTTAAACCCGCCAAGATTTACTATATATATTCCCCGGGTTTAAAAGGTTTTTGTTTATAATTATAGATACAATTTAACGGTTTTTATGATTAAAAATTGTAGTTCGAAGTAAATATTCGATATATTTTAATCGATTGAGCAAATTTGAACATTTTGCTTAATATTAAATCAAGACCAGTTTTTAGCTATTTATTTAGAGACTCATCCAATATTCGGACAAAAACTATATCTATAAAGTCTCTCATAAAGAATTCTTGAGCATTGATTGGAGCAATGTAAAATAATATAAAAATTATATATATATAACCTGAATACCTATGTTTTGAAACCCAATTGTTATTTAATGGTAAATTTTGAATAGTAGTGTTATAAATTAACAGAACGCATGCTTTTTGTTAGTCAGATGGTGTTAGGGGGTGTTAGTGGCTCGAAGGGAGGGAAGGGCACACTTACTATCAGTCTTAGCGTTTTTGCCATTTTGCGCGACAGCGTTTTGTTTATTATCTGAGAATTAAAAATATTTACGATTTATATTTATAGCGAATGCGGGGTTTTCTTCGAACCAGACCAATAAATCCAAAAAAAAAAAAACAAAAAGGGGAAAATAAAATATGAAAATTCCCACCCCAGACAAAAAAAAAATAGATAAAGGCCCGATTCCATTCAATTATGATTGATGCAAGAAGTGGAAATGCAATGTGAAATGAATTACTCACCATTATCCTCCTCGACATCCGAATCGCATTTGGGGAAATAGTATTCGAGCAGGCGCTCAGCGAGGGCTGTTGTGGTATCAACGCCATTGACGGCGAGGCTGCCATATTGTGTGGCAAGTACCTCGTTGGCCTTCTGCCAGGCCAGATCCTTGAGCGAGGCGGCCTTCTGCTGTCCGGCTGCCTTGAATTTGACTACACGCTCCAGATGCGGTTGCACCACATCAATAACCTTGTTCTTTGCCTGTGTGTAGATTTCCTGCGGTGTATCCTTAATGATCGGCGCCTTAACCTCCAGCGACTCAATGCCCTTAACCAGTGTCTGATCCACATAGGCAATGGGTCGATCCAAGCGATTCACAATGGGTGCAGCTGTCGTCACTGCTCGGGCCACACAATCCTCGGCGGCATTTAAAGCCCAATTGAAGACGCGATTTTTGCCTAAAAACAAAGAATGTATGAAGAAAACATGCGTTAAACAGTTGAACTTTCTCGAAATGTGAACTACTCTCTAAAGTAAAAATATAGAAGCAATGAATGGAATAAGAAATTCATATATAGAAGAAACCAATTTTGTTCACCTATTTTATATTAATATAATATAATATATTAATATATATTCATATAATATATAATAATTATAATAACTATAGATAGCTCTTTGAAACCTGGATTTTTTTCCATAAAATATATAGTTGCATATTTTGTATATCTATCAAGCAAAAATTTCTTGTGAAACAAACAATTTTGGATAAGTTATCTGTTTGCGCTTCTAAAAGTCTTAATCTGTGAGCAAACCATTTATATATATACGGCATATATATATATATAAAATTATACATATATATATTTATATATATATATATAAATTTATACATATATATATTTATATATATATATATAAATTTATACATATATATATTTATATATATATATATATATATGTGTGGTACATAGCTAGAATTGAGCTCTGGCCTGCGGACAAGTGATAAGCAGTCGGCGCCTCCCATCAGCCGTCCCCATTCCCATCTCAGCCCTCTGCCTTAGTTATCGGCACTTGGTGCTGTTGCGTGATTGATGATAAGCAACTGCGCAGTTGCTAGCAGAGACCCAGCACAGCACAGCACAGACGACAGGCTAGCTGTAGTTTTTGTTGCTGCCACTGTGTTGTCGACGCTATAGTTGTAGTTGCAGCTATTAGCTGTATTCTGAGTTAGACTTTGATAGTTCGTCATCATCATCATCATCATCGGCAACAACTACAACAATGTCAGCTTTAAGGTAGCGCGAAAAAAAAAACGCAAACAAGTCGAAAGTCCAACTAGACACACATACAAATATACACACACACTCACATACATAAACGTTTCTCCACTCATTTCAAATTCACACACAGAGGGCCGGTGACTATTTGCAAATTTTTTTTTACAGCTGGCGCCCCCTGTTGGTCACACCATTTAATGCAATTTCCTAAGTTATTCATATCACACGCACACTATCATTCCACATTACTCATATGTGCGCATTGAATATATGTATGCGTGTGTAAAAAAACGTTCAAACTACGTGTTTGGCTGGCAAAAAAAAAAAAATAAATAAAAATTATTTTTAAGTTATGTAAATTTTGTGTGATTTTGCACTTTGTACGCACTGCTGTGGCATGTCACGAGCAAAATAAAAGAATTTCGCCCATCTTTGCGACAGCGGCAGGTCATGGTTGTTGTTTTTGTTGATGTTGTTGTTGCATTTGCGTTTTATTGACTGTTGCGTCAATTGAGTTAAATTGGCAATTGCGCCGGTTCAATTAAAGTTTCGAGTTCGAGTTTTTGCGGCGAATTCGTCAAGCAATTTACTTTCAAAATGGCGAACTTTGCACTTAACGAAGTCGCGCTTTGGGCGTGCTAAGCAACGGTTTTCGTTTCGGTTTTGCGTTATGGTTTCTATTTCGTTTCGTCAGTTGTCGGTTTGCCGTTACAATTTCGAACTGCAATTGGCAGTGTGCCGTTAGTTAACCGGCGGCATGCAATAAAACCAGAGTTCAATGCACTCAAAGAGAGGCGTGCGAGCACATGGCCAATCTACGATTAGTTTCGTTTCTAGACTTACCCTTCACTTTGCCGTAGACATCTTGTGACTTATCCCACGCGGCATTCACAACGGGCAGCTTGATAATGCGCTCCAGCGACTCCAAATGGGGCAACAGATCCTTCGCATCCTTTGGCGTTTCAGAGGATTCTGTTATAGCGCTATGATTGTTCTTGGCGACGGCGGCAGCGATGCCATTGCCAGTTGCGGTTTTCTGCTCTGCACTTGCCATGTTTCTTTCAATATTTCTTTTCTTTTCTTTCTTGCTTGATTTTCACTTTTTATTTTATGCTTTTTGCTTTGCACGGCACTTTTTTTTTGTCTTTTGTGGCACCAAAGAAAAAAAGGCTGACAATTGTGTGCGTGTGTGTATATGTCTATGTATGCGTGTTAATTCAACAGGCTAAAGAACTTATGAGGCCTGATACGATCTCTTGAACACTGGGCACGTCTTCTCGCTGGCACACTCAACGCGTTTCTGACTGATTTGCAAGCTGCGCGGCTGGTTTATTATGAGGGCCTCTCCTCCAGAAGACGACGACGACGTCGATGACGTCGAAGAGCATGCGGCGAGCAAATGCCGATGCCTCAAAACGAGTGTGAGCGTGCCAGTCACATAGCGAGAGGGAGAGCGCGAGCGTGAGGGAGAAGCAGAGAGAGACCAACTGGCGCTCTCTTCGCTGCCTATTGAGTTTTGGACTTGCGGGCGCACCGACGCGTCTGACTCTACTCTGCTGCAATCGACTGCACTTGAGATACAGTGTGCGGCATAAGTATGCGACTATTGCCAACTGAAATGAGAACACAGCCCTTATGGAATTGCATATGTGTAGTGTGTGTGGGTTGATTTCAGTTTAACACTGTTTGCCAAGCTGCATCAAAGCGAAAAACATATTATAATTGTTGGTGCTGATATAAATTCCCTAAAGGCTATAAAATTGCTTGTTAACAAACTTAAATAAAATATACATTTATACATGTATATACATTTATTAATTTGGAATTTGATGCATATTCAATATTTACACACAGAAATGATCAATTACATTGTACAAAACCAATATGAGATACGCCGCTAACTGCCATGAGACACTGTGGCGATCGTCTCATATAAGAGGTGTTAGTAAGTGTCGCATTGTTGTTACTTTGGACTTTAATTGAGTTTCAACATGTGAAAATGACGTTTCGAAATTGGTGTAATCAAATTAAGTGTTTATTTGCATTTTAAATGGGTGCCGACTAAACGGTGGGTAGACTGAGGGAGGCGGAAGACAGTCAGTATGCAATTCCAATTGCAATTTGCATAATTGGAATCACATAAAGATTCGGAACGTGAATATATATGTGAGAATTCCAACCGCGCGCAGCCGATCGGTGGATCAAAGAGCAAAGAGCGAGAGAGACAGAGAGAGGGAGCATAAGAGAGTGTATGGTGAAAGAGAGTATATAGTGAAAGAGAGTGAGAGTGAGAGACGCGTGATGCTTGACAACTAGATTAACATACTGCCAGTGCCCCCGCCGCCGTCGTCACACTCCCCCGCACCCGGCACAGTGCACCAACTGAAATTTCGAATAGAATTTATTATCAATTGTTTTGTTTGTGTGCGTGCGAAAACTTTGACCCCTCCGCCAGAATTCATGCTGGTACATAAGTTGTCTAAGTACATACATACATATATACATACGTACACGCATACAAATGTATATGCATATGTATATGTATGTTTGTAGTCTACGATAAGAAATGCATTCGCTTGGCTCACACTGGGCAGATCATGTCATCACTGCTGGGTATATGGCGCCATTAGCCTAGACTCTAGGCCCTACAGCATGTATGTACATGGGTACCTATGCACGTAACATTTGATCAGCTCAATGTAATTCCAGTGCACAGCTCCAAAGTTCACACAACGGGTGCTGACTAAATGTACGTGGAAATACAGTACGATTACTCAAGTCACCAATGACCGACTAACGGATACCCAATAACCAGATGCGAATATCACTTTCTACATTACACTTTGAAAATGGTTTCTATTTGTTTACTAATAGAAACAAACCACCCGCCGCAACCGGTAAATAAAGAATTATGTGGAGATATCTTGGTGGAAAACGGAAAAGAAAAGAAATGGGGTACAGAGTATAAGGGAGTATAAGTAAACGAACAGTCAAAGTCGTCTGGCCGTTGTAATGATAAGCCATCCGCTCCAGACACAGGCCCTAAATGGTCAACCCCATGCAATCAGTCAGGCGTCTGTGGCGTGGCTCACTTCGCCACCAACCAGCAAACCAACTAACTGTTTGGGCGTGTATCAAAGATGAATCCAATGTTCAGCTTTTCTCATTTTTGTAACTTTTGTCAGGTGCTAAGTGTGCTTATCGCCCACATATCAATGATATCAATGCTAATCGTCGGAATAGTAGTTTGTCATCTAGTCGACTTTGAGCCTCGCCAATCTCACAGTTGTTAATTACATTGTGTGCCATTAGTGAGCAATATGTGTGTGCCTGTTAATTATGTGCACCATTGTAAATCATTTCAAACCTGCTCGCTTTATCGTAACTGTTTATGATCAGCTTTAATAACACCAACAAACTGTAAATCTAAACACGCTCAAATATTCGATGGTTAAATATTTAGTTTAGCCACAACTTGTTTTTATTATGCCTAATAATTGTTTAGCTAGACTAGCAATTTTGTTATATTATCTGGGCATTGCGACGCAAACTATCCCTTCTTATCCCCTTCTTACATTCTCTATGCATACATATATGTATGTATATATAAATTTATATATTTGTATACCACATGCAGTCAGAGCGGTCCAAAAAAGCATTGCGTTGTCGGTTGTTGACACTCATCGCTCTTATCGTGCCACATATGAGTATGTGCACACATGTCTTATATAGAGTCCAGAGTATGTAAAGTCCAGAGTTTAGTCTCATCTCGTATTCATGTGCTTGTGGTTCTACAGACATGTGATGCAGTCGCTTCCAGAATCTGATAAACACAATCTTTCCAATCTTTGGTCTACCTGCATATATTGTATCCCTAATCCATCTAATTATAGTAAATTCTTCTTCATTCTTCTATTCGAAAACCTTATCAAATTTATCTATACAAATGGGAAATGGAATAATTAAAATATGGCTTCTACTTCTATATATATAACTGCCTCTGTAACCCAACGCGAGCGCTCTACTTTAAATCAGTTGCAGTTAGTTTCAAGTGTTAAAGTTCAGTGCTTTGTATGTTTAATCAAATGTGTCAAAAACAAAAATAAAAAATATAAAAAAAAAACTCATTTAGTATGATGATAAATGTGGACTTTGCACAGGAAGCTACGACATTCACTACTGGTATTCATGCGTAAGTTGGATGACTCGTTGTACCCAATTGTGTTTCTATTCTTTTCTTACCAGACGCTATCGTTCTATTAAAAAAAAAATGATAATAATAAAAAATAAGGCAAAATAAATGTACCCAAATGAACATTTTTGTACATTTCTGATTGTTGTTCCGATAAGCTCGTTAAATAATCTTTTATTTTTGTGCCTTTGTTGTGCTTATCGTAATGGTGAATAAATACTTTCAGCCTTCTCTGTGTGAATACAAATTGTTAGATATAGAGATCTGCATAGGTATTCTCGAATTGACCGAGTCTATGCATAAGAAATGTTTTTGTTCGCGGAAACATCGAGATCTTTATAGACACAGATTTGCTAAGTGCAAGAAAGATAAAGTATGGCCCAAATTGCCAAGGTATGCGTTGTCTAGCAGTCGATGCATGATTGGATCCATAAATATCATTCCAATTTGAAGGTTAGTCTTTAAAATATAGATGTTGTTTTATTCATCTTCTGTGTAGAATCCAAGTGTGGTTTTTTTTTTTCACAACCAGTTCTTGTGCAAAGAAATAGGAAATCTTGGGTAAACTGCACACAAAGTAAAGTACCTAATTATAATTATTGTTGCCAAGACATGCTTTTCCAAAGACTCGTGTTGCTTACTTGGGTATATTTATGAAAACAGCTGCATAACCTACACAGAAAACAGAAAAGTGTAAAACACATATCGATTAAACGGTAGTCGTCAAGTACTTGATGGGGTCCTTCTGCGCCATGCTTAATACATTAGTAAGTTGTTTCACATGCTGTGCAGTCTGACTCCCTCTTTCCTCTTTCTCGCTCTCTCTCTCTCTATTTCGCTCTTCATCTCTCTGTATTTGCTTGCCCTCTTAAAATTTTAAACGGAATTCGTCATAAAGCAGACCACAAGAGAAACAAGCTACACAACAAAAAAAACAAAAACCAGACACTTGGACTTTGAACGCTCTACGTGTCGCTGCCGGCGTCGTCGTTGTCGTCTGCGTGGCTAATGACGACGACGCAACAGCAGCAGCGACCGCGATGTCGATGCCGTTGAGTAGCATTGAGAAAATTCGATGAGTGGAAGCAAGTAGAAGAATAAAACGAACTCTTTTTGTTCTTTAACTAAATTTAGACAAGTTGGTGCTGCGAGCAAAGACCAACTCTTGGCATACGTCATTTCAAACATGCATACATGCATATGTACAGTGTCTCGCAGTTTAACTGGAACAGCGCCTAGCAAAAAAGTTAATTGCCTGCCATAAACAAATTATTCAATATTTTTCAAAAATTCCAAAGACCGATGGCAGGTACATATATTGACTACCTAAATGACTATATGACCCCCATAAACTGGGGTTTTCCCACCGGCTAGGTCGGGTTATGTAAAAAAGTACCTTAATTTGTGGTCACATATTATGTGGAACAATGGCGTTATGGACACCTGGGTGCCATAAAACCCTGATTTTTTACGTCAGGTTGATTATTTTTGGTATAAATAGACCAATCCTTCGTAGTCAGATTAGTTATATCCTGCATCTCGGGTGCAACCAGCCAACAAGGACTATGTGCAAGCGGACTACCATTGAACAACGGAAACTGATCCTGGAACACTTCAGGATTGGATATTCATATCGCCAAATAGCTAAAATGGTAAATCTAAGCACCACAACTGTATTCAATATCATTCGGCGCTTCGTCGGCGAAAATCGGATAGAGGACAAGGGCAGAAAGGCACCAAACAAGATTTTCACCGAACAGGAGGAGCGGAGGATCATCAGGAAAATAAGGGAAAATGCCAAGCTATCGGCTCCAAAACTGACTCCACAGATGGAGGACGAAATGGGGCAAAAGTGCAGTGTGGAATCTGTGCGCCGGGTTCTGCGCAACCATGACTTTAATGCCCAAGTACCACGGAATAAGCCCTTTATAAGCGCCAAAAATAAAGGGACTAGGATGGCATTCGTCAAAACCCACTTGGACAAGGATTTGGAGTTCTGGAACAAATTCATATTTGAAGATGAGCCCAAATTCAACATTTTTGGCTCAGACGGACAAAATTATGTGTGGCGACAGTCCAATACTGAGCTGAGTTCCAAAATCCTAAAGGCAACAGTCAAGCACGACGGAGGAAGTGTCATGGTATGGGCATGTATCTCGGCAGCCGGCGTCGGGAATTTGGTGTTTTTTGAAACAACAATGGACAAGAGTGTGTATTTCAATATATTAAAGGAAAATTTACTCCAAAGTGCCAAGAAGCTAGGAATCCGACGTACTTTCCGGTTCTACCACGACAACGACCAGGACAAAAGCCAAGCATAAGTCCGGATTAGTACAGTCCTGGCATATCTGGAACTGCCCCCACACAATAATTCCATAGGCCCAGTCTCCAGATTTAAATGTTATTTAAAATTTGTGGGCTCTGCTGGAAAATAACATCAGGAATCACAGATCCGATCTCAAAAATGCTCTGCTGGATGAGTGGAGCAAAGTCAGTCCAGAAACCACCCGGAAGCTGGTATCTTCCATGAATAATAGGTTAGGGGACTTTATTAGGGCTAAAGGATATCATACTAAGTATTAACATCCTTATTTAAGTTTTTATACGCCTAATATGTTACTTTTCTAAGACTGTTCCAAAAAAACGTTGACATGTATTTTGGATATGTTTTCAGTTTTTGACGAATTTCAGTTAATTAATTAATATTTTAATAAAAACTGAAGTTTCCTTTTCAAACGTGATATAACATAAAACAAATTGGCATTTAAACATTTTGAGTTAGTTTTTTTGTTTAAACCTTATAGCACTTTAAATTTTTTGCTAGGCGCTGTTCCAGTTGAACTGCGAGACACTGTATGTATGCATGCCAGTTGCCATGTTGGGGGTACAGTTTGACATGCCACACACTCGTCCACAGTTTACGCATTGATGCTCTACATACATACATACATATGTGCCGATCAACAGCAGATCAACGAGTGCATATGTACTGCGAACACACACACACACGCACATACACATCCACAGACGAGTCATGTGTTGTCTCTGTGCAAGCTTTTAGTTCGCTCCAATGACAAACTGTTAAATATCATAGTGTGTACTACAAACACACACGTACATATTTGCCGACTGCGCTGAACTTTGAGTTTGAGCATGTTAAAAGCTGTTCTTGTTGTTGTTGTTTTTGCCGTTCCGTTGGATTTTTGTTTTCAGCTTCTTTCTTCGACGCTTCCGTTGCTGTATAAATGCTTGATTTTGTATATTTTAATAATCTACTAGTTTATATGTACATACATATGCATATGTATATATGTGTGTTCGCAGATTTCTTGGCGCAAGCTTTTTAATTTCATTATTTTTTTTTGTTTTTATTTTTTTTCGTTTGTTTGCTAAAAACACAACCTTGATCTTTTATTTATGGATGTGCGAGTTCTACAACTGTGCGTGCGTGTGTGTGTGTTGTTCTTGAAATGCACCAATAAACATGATGTGATATGATCCGACTCAAATCTATTGAACTGAAATATAAGATCGTATGTAGTTATAACTAGAGAGACAAATGCAGCTTGGCGCAGTTTCTTCGATTTCAGAAAATCCATTCGGTGGTAAATAGATTATAGATGGGAAATACCATTAAGAATTGTTTTGATTAAAATTTATTTACATTTTGCAGTAGTCGCAATTCACAGTACAATCACAATAAATTATTAAATCTGTTAAAGTTTGTCGACAGGACAGGACCTATTTTATATGTATATATATATATATATATATATATATATATATATATACATATATATAAATATATAATGATAATAGTGTATTTGAGTTAGGAATATGTCAAGCTGTCGCTGGGAAAATGCTCAGCTGTTGACCCCGTTATTGGCCTGCAATTAAAGCAGGCCTCAAGTTGAGCAAGTCGCGAGTCCTGTCAGAGTTGAAAATGGACAACGAAACAGTAGACATGATGCGGGACAGTGGCGCATCGGGTGCTTCGTTGCTCAGTAAATCGAATCCGGTCTTCTGTTGCTATTTGGTTTGGAGCACTGTGCTTATCATTAAGATGCTGCTGATGACCCTGTTGACGGCCCGTCAGCGCTTCAAGACCAAAGCGGTTGCCAATCCCGAGGACATGCGGATGACCCGCGCCGACGAGGTCCGCTTCAATGATGCCAACGTGGAGCGCGTGCGTCGGTGAGTAAAAAAACATATTATAATAATATTATTAATAGCAATAGAATACACGCAATAGTTCATTTGCTTGCTAATTACTCTCACTCTCGTTGGGTCGACAAACAAGCAATCAAACAAACAAACTGTAAAATCTAGTTCAAATAAGTGCGACATTTTTTCACTTTTGTCTGTCTGTCAGCTATTCGACTTCCTTTGCCGGGTGCTAATTGTGTTTGTCACGCTTCTTATACCTTATTCGCATGACGAGCGCATATTGGTTCCGACCATCATGCAAATGTGTAGTGCAGTGTGTGGGACCCACTACGAACTACACATGCTACAGCTTGCTGTATATTATTATTATACATCAATTTATTTCAATTATAATCATTTCACATCCATCATGCAAATGATGTCGTGTATGGGCCCCCAAACTTTCAATTGACTTTTGTTTATTTTCAGTGCTCATCGCAACGATTTGGAGAATATTCTACCTTTCCTGCTATTGACGCTCGCCTACGTCTCGTGCGGCCCCCATCCCCTCGCCGCTAAACTGCTCATACGCATCGGGGCCAGTGCACGTCTGCTGCACACTCTGGTCTACGCGGTGTTTCCAATGCCGCAACCGACTCGTGCGATCAGTTTCTTTATCACATTTTCCATTATGATCTACGAGGCTGTTTATGTGCTCCTCTGCTCCGTCAAGTATATCTAAGCGGAGAGGGGCAACTGGGAGGAAGGGTCAGTTTAATGAGTCGTTTACATTTTTTTTTATTATTTATAAGTTTATATCTGCCCAGTCACCTAGTCTTGAACTACTCCAATCACACATACAACAAACACAGAGACACATAATATATGGAACCAGTTTGGCGAGTTGTTTGGCTTTTGAAGCCATTTGCGTATTTTTGATCTGCGCAGCAAATCATTTGCTAAAGTTCGCTCTAGAAGCATAGACCACAACACGCACGCACACACACACACACTCGAAACACTCCACACACACAAACGAGAACTCCTCGAAATGTCCTCTAGTCATATGAATAGCAGTAGTAGTAGTAGTAATAGTAATAATAACAGCACAATGGATCTGCTCACATTGGAGAATCCAGTGTTCTGTTGCTATCTCTTTTGGGCCACTGTGCTGGTGGTGAAGATGCTGCTGATGTCTCTGCTGACGGCGCTGCAACGCTTTCGCTACAAGGTGAGTTCAATTCCAGTGCATTATATATAGAAAATTCAACTCATTTCACACTCATTCACACACAATCCATTCCATTCGTTCCACAGCTGCTGGGTCTGGTGCCATTGGCGTTGCGGCGAAAGGTAAAACACTCACCACATCCACTCATTCCATGAAGCAGCTATTTTCATTGCATTTTCCTCACGGATCTTCACTTTCGCTCTCGCTCCACCCGCTGCGCTTACGTATTGGAAGTGGAAGTCGGTGCGAGCCACTATTTGCCTTTCCATGAGCACAGTCCATTTATTCCATTTATGAATTGTTACTGGAACGTTGAGTTTTTTGCTTCCAGGTGTTCCCCAATGAGGAGGATCTGTTCTTCAAGAATATCGAAGTTCAATTCGATGATCCACGCGTGGAACGCGTGCGCAGGTATGTGGCATCAAGTGGATCAAGCATGTGCGAAAAATCAATCTCCTTTCTTCTCTGTCTCTCTCTTTCTTTAGAGCGCATCGCAACGACATGGAGAACATTCTGCCGTACTTCATTATGGCATTGATATACGTGTGCACCAATCCCAATCCGATGATCGCCTGTAATCTGTTCCGTCTGGCTGCCATTGCACGCATTGTTCACACGCTTGTCTACGCCGTGGTTGCAGTGCCGCAACCGTCACGTATTCTTGCCTTTGCCACCATGCTGATCATCACCTTCTACATGGCAGCTGTGGTTGCATTGCGCACGCTTCGCTTTATTTGAATCTTAAATAATGGCGCCATTTGCAAGTGCGCATTTGGCAGGGTGACAAACATAAAACTTTTATAGGTTCAGGGTTGCCGATTACTAGTAAAACTAAATAAATAATTGAAGAACAATTTAACTGTTATTGTTAACAGACGTCACAGCTACGTTACCTTGTACATATCTTGTACCATGAATACGTAGTTACAAAATGTAAACACAGATTTGGTTTCAACAATTTTGGTTTTGGTTTATGTTTCGCCATTAATTTAACTATAATTAATTTGAGATACAGCTAAAGAGAACAGAAACAAAATAAAAATAAACAAGAGAAATTTAAGTTTACGGGTTAGTTAGCCATTGCTGGCATATTCTAAGTACAGTGCCCAGCTTTATACTTTAGATATTGAAGCCCGAATCGCGCATGCATTTTTTGTGCGCCTCAATCAGCTTTGTGCAGTTCTCCTCGCCGTTCTCCATAATACTGCAAGCAAAACGGATAAAGCAAATAATTATTGTTGCGTCACTCTCCCCCTCTGTTTGTCTCTCGCGCTCTTACCATTGGTCACGTGCACGTTTGGTTTCAGGACAGGCGCAGCAGGCTTTGCATTTGGGCTTGTCGCCGGCGGCGGCGGCATCTGTGGCCTTGGACGCTGGTGCTGCTGCGGTCGCAACGACTTCGACTCCCTTCGACGAATTACTGCCCATTGTGTGTGTTTAGCGGAAGCTGCTGCTGTGCGTTTTATATGAAATTATGCACCTTTGCTTGTTTTGTTTATGTAATAAATCTTACCAAAGTTTGCAATATATATGCGAGGCTTTATTTCACCACAACTGATGGATAGCAAATTCAAGTTCACACACACACATGAAGATGTACAATAACAGCTGTGCTGCTGCCTATCGATAGGCAGCGTTGCATCACACGTGCTGCAATGCAAGCAAATTATCGATGCAACCAAATTTCGGCAATATAGAAAATGAATCGAAAATTTATAGAAAATGAGCGTAAATTCTACTTTATTCTATGTTCAAATTGAGCTTTATTCTATATAAAATGTATATATATCTGTCTGCTATGCGCGAACTTAAACTGTCGACACATTTATCGATATGCAAGCAAGTAACTGTTTATTTTTTGACAACTGTTTGTGTTTGTTGGTGTGTTAATAACTAAGCACTGTTTATGGTAAGAGCAATAATATATATACAATTTACGCCGTCTCCATTTGCTGCGTATTTTTCGCTTTGCTGGTGCTGCTGCTAGTAGATGCTGTTTCTGTCTCTGCAACCGTCTGCTTTAGCCGTTGTAGCATGTTGAATGAGACCAGATCCAGTTTTAAATGTTGCACGCTCAAAGCGCTGCCATCCCAATCGAACAGCACCTTCAATTTCGCCGCATCACACAGATTTAGCAATTCTATCAGCGACATGGAAACAGTTAGTTATTGTAAATACCCTAGCAAAAAAAAAAACTCACCCATGCCACCACTTTGGTACTCATTGCGCTCCTTTTCCAGGGTGATTCGGATGACATCCTGTCGCGCCGCATGCTGATTGGCCCGATTTTTGCCAATCGATTGCTTTAATGCAATCTGTTCCAGTTCGTCATCGAATCGTTGGAAATACAATGCAATCAAATCTTCAAATTCCTGTGCACTCAACGGCTCTGTGCGTCCCTCCTCGATGTGGCCCAGGAACCAGCTCAGCTTTTCTCCCATTATATTGCTCTTGATTGCATGCCCCATACGGACTTTGTGTTTGTTATTCTGTCGGCGCGCTTTTTTGCCCAACGCCTTGGTTTTGCGACTGTTGGGATGCTTGCATTTCTGCAACTCCTTGCGTAAGTTCGTCTGCAATTACAAAATGCAATTAACTACGATAATATTTATATACAAACTTAATGCGACTTGCCATTTTTGCTTAGCACGTTTTTGGTTTTAATTTGTTTTGGCACAGCTGTTGGTGGTTATCGATATTGCGGCTCATCGGATGTGGCGATATTTAACGTTAGAGGGTGCAACGATCGCTATGTATGTATCATATGTTTCGAACAGTCATTAAAAGTTAGGATTTTTGTAAATGACCAAAGCATTTTGATTTTTAAATTATTTAAGCATGTTTCTTTTTTGGCAGGGAAACAACCAACTTTCGCACAGATGTTAAGCGCTATCGAAACGCTATCGGTTGACGGCAGATGGCGCCAGTGAATCGATCAGCACCACCTGGCAAACAGCTGACTGACTAAATGCAAAACAAACTCGATTGCTTAGAACGCGGCCAGAAGTTCGCTCGATAAGGGCGATCATTAGGAAGGAGGGCAATTTGAGCTGAGTGCATTCTCAACGACCGAGCGCGTCGCAGCATTTCCAGGTGTTGTATTCGTCGTCGTCGCGTGCTCAAAGCGTCAGCAAGCTAATGCAAATATCTTTCACATTTGTTCGTTTTCAGGCCATTCCCACGCTTTATCTACCATACACACCCACCCACCCACCCATTCAACAATGGCAATGGCAACACATTTGCTGCGAAATGCAAGCACACTTTGGCTGCTCCGAAACTGTCGTCGCTCGCGGCCTCTCACTGTGAGTATTTTCCCATTTTTATTTGCATAGCAAAAAAATTCTTCCTCCATTGAAGTTCGGAAAGCGACGACAATCGACAATGTCGTGAAGTTCAGCGATGTGTTTTGTGTTATGTAATCAAATTCGCACAACAAGTGGGCAATTCAAATGGTGATTGCTGCACGAGTGCGAACGCAACAGCATGCTTCGCCACGCACATCACAGCAACAGGTGCGAGCGAAAGGGGTGCAGAGAGCAAACGAGAAACAGAGACACAGAAAGAGGGAGAGAGAGAGCGCTGCTCGCTACTGTTGTTGCACGACTCTCGACAGAGGGCGCAGTTGCTGCTGGTGGCGGAGCGAGTAATTAACTTGCAATGAAAATTATAATCGCTTTGTGTAGTTATATCCGATCGCATCAAATAGATACATATGTATATATATATATATATATATGGCTACATCTGGTTAATCAGTCCTATTTGCATCTATGCTGATAACAATCGCTTCATTTTTATTGCAATGTTAATATTCAACGGATTATTTGCTTCTATTATTTTTTTTTAATTATTCCTGAAGGTTAAATTTTTGAACATTAAAAGGGTATTTAATCTTCGGGTAGACCAATGCAAACAACTTTATTCATTCATTCTTCACTTGACTTCTTCCTATCGATTTGCATTTTGGATTTCGAACCTGAGCTAAAATTTGTTTTTGTTCTTCTTTTTTTCTGGTCTCGCAGCTGGCTCGCTGCCTGCATTTGACGCCCTGCGTGGAGAAGAAGGTGGCCTTCCATCTGAGCGACATTGGCGAGGGCATACGGGAGGTGACAGTGAAGGAGTGGTTCGTCAAGGTGGGCGACACCGTCGAGCAGTTCGACAATCTGTGCGAGGTGCAATCGGATAAGGCTTCGGTGACGATCACCAGTCGCTACGATGGCAAGATCACCCAGATCTTTCACAGCATCGATGAGCTGGCTCTGGTCGGTAAACCCCTGCTCGAATTTGAAGTCGCCGATGAGGATGAGGGCGAGAGTAGTACCAGCAGTAGCGATAGCTCCGACAGTGATGCGGTTCCAGCCGCAGCCTGTGGCGCTTCAATAGCAGCCGCATCTGGTGCACGGCACATAACGCCTGCTACACCCGCTGTGCGTCGACTAGCCAAGGAGAACCGGTTGAATCTGGCTCAGGTGCCGCCAACGGGCAGAAATGGTCGTGTGCTCAAGGGCGATGTGCTGGAGTATTTGGGCAAAGTGCCCAAGGGCACAAATGTGCCCCATCCCACCAATTTACCCAGAGAAGGGGCTGCTACAGCCGCCGCTCCAGCTGCAATGCCGCCCGTGCCGGCGCCAGCGGATCGTGTGGAGGTGCTCAAGGGCGTACGCAAGGCCATGCTCAAGACTATGACGATATCGCAGGTGAGTACGGCTCTAGCTGAGATACCATCAAGTACATGTATATATATATTTGATTTATATATATATATATATTTGATTTGAATTCTTTAGCTTAGTTTAGTTGCTTTAATTTGTCTAATTATTTCTCTGTGTCGCACAGCAAATTCCGCAATTTGCTTATAGTGATGAGATCGATATGTCGAGTCTGATCCAGTTTCGGGCCCAACTGCAGGTGGCTGCAAAGGAGCAGGGTTTGCCCAAGCTGACCTTCATGCCGTTCTGCATCAAGGCGGCGAGCATTGCCTTGACCAAGTATCCGATATTGAACAGCTCACTGGATTTGGCCAGCGAGTCGGTTGTGTACAAGGGGTCGCACAACATAAGCGTTGCCATCGATACGCCCCAGGGTCTGGTGGTGCCCAGCATTAAGAATTGTCAGGCCAAGAGCATTGTACAGATTGCCAAGGATCTGAATGCGCTCGTTGAGCGTGGACGCACTGGCACACTGACGCCATCCGATTTTGCTGACGGCACCTTTTCTCTGTCCAACATTGGCTCGGTAAGTAAATTGATATTCCTGTAGTTGATGTGGTTTGTTAATGGATAACTGGTTTTCTAGGTGGGCGGCACATATACGCATCCTCGCATCATGTCACCCCAGGTGGCAATTGGGGCGATGGGCAAAACGATGGTGAAGCCGCGATTCAACGACAAGGACGAGTTGGTCAAGGCGTATATTATGAGTGTCAGTTGGTCCGCTGATCATCGGGTGATTGACGGCGTCACCATTGCCCGCTTCTCCAATGTGTGGAAGGAGCACTTGGAGCAGCCGGCACTATTCTTGCTACATTGAAGCATTGACTCCAACTGCAGCTGCCACAGCTCAATGATCAACCGTTAAGGCTGTTCTCTTGCATTTATTTACAAAGAAAAACAAAAACAAAAACAAAACAAATCATTTTACAACAACAAGCAACAATTGGCTGCCATGTGACGCACTTTTCCTAAAACTGCCACCAACTATATCCAGAATGTGCATTCATAGCAGGCGCCACTTTTACTGGCTCCTCGACTCTTTTTGTTGTTGTTTGTTTAGCTTTAAGCTTTGAGCGCTTAACCGTTATACTTTCTCTTTAACTGCATTTATGTTGCATTTTCACATGCGCAAAAAAAAAAATCAAAACAAAACAAAAACAAAAATTAATTCTTAGTTCACTTATGTTGTAGTTTTTAATGCTGCTTACAGCCTAACTGTATATTGTTCATTTTAAATATATATTTGATGTACTCATGTTGTATGTGCCTTGTGTCTTCCTATAAACATCCAATTCAATTCAATTCAATTCAATTCATGTAAAGTCAAATGACCTCCGAGTATCAGTGATGCGAAAGTGGCTTGATTTACCTAGAGAAATGCTTTTGCCTCAAAATCAATCTGATTCAGATAATAATAATATGAAATACGTGCATGAATACGTGTTTATTTATTGGGTTTATTTTTATTTTAGCTGGACTCGCAGTGCTTTCAACTCAATTTCCAGCTGTAGCTATAACTGTAAACCGCACACACTCTTCTATTTATGTATGTGCTTGTGTTTGTCGGCGTTGAATTGCATTGGAACACACGTGGCTGACTGGCTGGCAGCTGTGTCATGCGCAGTGACTGGAAGCGGAATCCAACAAGTGCGGCACGGCAAATGGAAAAAAGTGGCTAAGCGCCAAATGGCCGAGCTGGCGCGCGCACGCCATTTCCAGTCTGTTTAGCGTCCATTGAACGCGTATAGGAATTTCAACATCAGCGGTCGCACAACACCAACTTACAAATAATTCACCACAATTCACCACACACACATATAGTGGGGCCAGCGTCCTGGATGCCCATTAGTCACAGTCACATCAGTTACACCATGGACAGTGCGCAGTGCAGACGTTAAAAGTTCCAAACAAAATATAAGTCCATATTTTGTAGTAGAATTGCTGCACATAGAGAGAAACACTCAAATTATTTTAAGCAAATTAATAACAGTAAAAACGCAAACGGTTTTATGTATTAAGTGACCGAGTTCTATTTATTTATTTTTTTAAGTGTGTAAACTGTTATTTTGCACTCGTGCTACTTTTGTGTGACTTTTGCTTGCATGGCGCGTGTTTCGCTGTTAAAGACTACACTGTTCACCCCCTGTCGCGCCAATGCAGCGCAACAATTGCAATAAAATAATGTTGACGCACTGATCAACGTCAACAAGCGGAGAGACAACAATCGACAATCGTCTGACGAAACTGGTAAGTAGCGTAATGCAAAAATAATGCTATGATATCCATGATACATGGACACATACAGACACACACAGAGTCAGCCCCCTATTTATGTATGTGTGTGTGTGTGTGTGTATACTACAACAAAAATAACATCAGTTCGAGTATCGACACATCTATTGCTGCTGGTGCTGCTGCTGTTGTTTTTACTACTGCTTTCGCTGTTCTTACTGCTGCTGCTGCTGCTTAACGATTTTTCCAGTGACCTTGTTGCGTACGCGAACGCCCGCTGCGTATTATTGTGTGTGTGTGTGAGAGAGTGAGCCGTATTCAGTGCGTATGTGTGTGTGTGTGTGTGTGTCATTGTTACTTTAACTGCTGCTGGCGCTGCTTAGCCTTGTCAATCCACCTCAGCTCAACCCACCTCACCTGCGATGAGTATTTTTGGAAGACCCAGCTGTCACCGCAAAACGGTCTTCATTTTTATTTTCCCCACAAATATATTGTTCGTTTGTAGCACACTTTTCAGCGCATTTCACATGAATTCATGGCAGTTCTCACTCTCTCTCTCTCTCTGTGTGTGTGTGTGTGTGTATCTTGAGTTTGAGTTTGTTGTTTTTTAATTCCAATGAATTTTTAAAACCGAATTTCATGTGTCTTGTCCAATTTGCGCTGCTGCTTGCTTTATTTACGGTATGTACTATTTGTGTGCTTGTTTGTGTGTGTGTATGTGTGTGATAAGCTTATACAGCTTTGCTGTCATTCAGCCAGAATAGCAGCACATTTTGTGGCCTTGATGGTGATGTGTCTCCGCTCTATTGGTTTTTCGTTTTTTATTTCTGGCTGTAGCTTTCCTTTTTTCTATTATTTTCCGCTCTCTTTCTGATTTTGTCTCTGACCATAACGCAATGCAATTGGCGAGCCTTTTATCGATTTTATGTTGCTCCAGCAGCAGCTAACAACTGGGCACGTGCGCGCCAACAACAACAACAAGTCATTCACACCACTTTAGATTCCCTAGGCACATACATATGTATACATATGTATACATATGTGTACGCTGAGTCGCACAGCGTTAAATTAATTGAAAAAGCAACGGCCGAGAGACGTTGCCTCAACACTCGAGTCCATAAGTAAGTGGCCCGTAGCAAAGGCGGGGACGTAGCTTTGTCCTTTGTCCTTTAAAGCAGAACCGTTGACGTGCAGTTGATTTAACTGTGCATGCTTTTCTGCTGCACTTAAGCCACAAAAAAACAGACAGAGAAAACATGGACTGACGCACAGACGGACAAAGAAAGTAGCAAAGAAGCAAATAAGGGACACACAAAGAGCATACATATACATGCTACACGAAATGTATTCAAGCAAATGCAACTTACAATTCGCTTTTTTTTTGGACTTTTAATTTCCCCTAAGCTATGAAAAGTTCCTTGTCGTGGTTTGTGCTCTTTATGTCTAAAATTGTCTTCAATTGCAAAAGTATATATATTTTTTATATATTCTTTATTTTTAATCAAAAGTCTCCAAAGTTAAGGCAACACAAATATTAATGGTGAAGGTTGGTCAAGACCACTCACAAATGATTTCCAGCTGGAATACCGCTTTACTTTTGCTTCTGCTACATTACCATTCGTTTTTATTTAATTAATTTGTGAATGGGTGAGTCCTCATTTAATTTATTTTATTTTTTTGTTGTTTTTAGAAATTCTTTAGGGTATTCCCGCAGTCGCCGTTAGTTGGACTACGCTTAGTGCGCAGTTGCTTGCATTTGAGTTTTATTGTTATGCTTATTGTGGCATCTTTTTTGTCTTTTGCCGTTTTCATATTTTTCTTGGAAAAAAATGGGGTTTTCTTTCCTCCTTTTTGTGGGTGTTGTGTCTGATTGTCGTTAGTATTATCGCCGTCTTTTGTGCACTTATTCTTCCTGTTGTTCTATGCGTTTTCCTTCATCCATGACTCTTAAGTTGGCGGCTTATGCAACCCAAAGAAAAGGACATGAAATTGTTAGCAGATGCTTAGTTTCTTTAAATTCCACAGCGCAGCTTCCTTGGCTTTACATACAATTTATAAGACCGTCATATTTCTATTGCATATTATAGATGGACAAATATTGAAAGTAATTTTGTGTGGTAAGTAGTAAGTAGTAAGTAAGAAAAACCTTGACAAGTTCATTTCAGTTTGTGAAAGCTGTGAAGTGTTTCATCAGTCAATCTCTGAAAATCCTTTTCAATGTCCGCAACCACAATAGAAATGCGTGGGTTTTTATTGAATATGATTGTGGTGGGGAGGACTTCATGGGAGGATTTCATCGGAGGATTTCATTGGAGAAATGCTGGCGATGTTCCTTTTTTATTCACTTGCTACTGACAGCTTTGCTGTTGGCTATTTTTAACATTCGCGGTATATAAAGATAGAAAGATAGAGACAAAGTGGGAGATGATGCTGATGTCATGAGGCTCTTCAAATGCCTGCTGCCCCTGCTCCCCTGGACTCTGAATCTGGGAGTCTTGGAGTGAGTGGGCCAAACCATTAAATGGAATTTTCAACAACGTGGCGTAGTTCGAAATACTTTAACAATTGTTGCAGTTGCAATTTGTGCTGCACTGAAAAAAATGAAAGAAGAGAATGACGGCAGCCTTGACATAATTAGCAAGTGACATGTGAATAGCTTATGCTCGTGTGTGTATAGAACGAAGGACGCATCCTTTTAGCCTTGTGTACTACAGCATTCCAACATACATTTTACATTAATGAAAATTGTTTGCCACAAGGCCAACTACTCAGTTATCCTTCAATCCTTTCCCAATGCTCCCTCTGCTTATATGTACATACTTGGAAGTTTATACATGTTATACATGTTGTTGTGGCGTTGGTTTTGCGCACTCTCTGAGTTTTTGTTTTAAATTGCTCTTAAAAGTTTTTGCTGCGAACATCCTCTTTAGTACACTTAATTTGCCATAAAATATAAATTGCTTTTTCCTGGCTTTTGTGTATATTTGTATATGTACATATAAATTATTTCCAATGGAGCTGCATCGTTTTTTTTTTGTTTGTTACTGCTTAATTGAAAATGTCAGCGACAGGATATTGCTTTGCATTTCTCATGCAGCCCTCTGCCCTCTGCCCTCCAATGCCTCAATACAGAATGTCGTTTTGACTTTGCAAAACGCATGAGAATCCCGTCTTAGCTGACTTTGAGACTGTCGTGAGATTGTCAAGTGCCATCAAGGTCTAATCCTCTAACTCTTCCGCTGTTTTCTCTCTCTCTCTCTCTCTCTCTTTCTCTATCACTGCTGCTTGCTCCTTTCGCTTTTTGCACGCCAATCGTGGCAAATGAATTTTCTGTCATTCCATCATCAAAGTCATTCATATAGCTACATAACTCAGCTTTGCTGTGCCATTTGCATGCCATTCCTCATAACTTGCTTCTTTACTATTTATATTTCCCATTCCTCTTTTCCATTTCACAATTTCCAATCCCAATTCTCAATTCGCTTTACCATCCGGTCTTGAGTGACGTCAATGCGATTGGCAATTTGCAATTTGCGCTATTTTAAAGTATTTTCCCCATCGACATTCGCCCCGTTTCTGCCGTTGACAACATGTCCACCAACATCGCCATCTCTTAACCCCACCGCCACTCCACACCGCCCGTTATCCTGACGAGGTCATTGGACTTGATTTGACTGGTCCCCAGCGGCATTGATTGGCTTGATCTGACCGCAGGTCGTCGATTTATTGCTTTTTTTGCTCCCACTGCTTTTCGCTGGAGTAAAATCAAATAATATAAATACTGGCAAATCATTTTTTAATGACCTCATCCTCATGGCACACAGAGTGGGACCAAGCAGCTCCAGTGACCTTTTCGAATAAAGGGCAGCTTGTTTAGCTTAAAATTAATTTTATATCTGCAATAGGTCAACTTCTTTTAAAAATAAACGCTGAAATGGACGTCTTTCGCTTGTCCTACGCAAATTTGTAGAGATGAAAGTTGAGTCAAAAGCATGGAAGTTTTTTGAAGGATTGCTAAGCTACCCACTTTGATTGACAAGGCTGACTAACCTCTGAATTGCTAATTACTGCTTGAGGAATCCACTGGAAAAGTTACAGAACCTACAATATTAAATTACATCTTGCTCTTTGCTGTATTATATCATACGATTATAGCTAGCTCCTACGCTATTAACAGTGCCCAGAACTCGGATAAATCAGAATTATGGCCTTACATGAGAAATTGACAATTATACTCAAATTTCAAAGCATGCTTTCCATTATAAAATGCATTATAGATTAAAACGGAATGCACATCTCAGTGGAAACTTAGCATTTTTAATTGGTAGTCCTTTAAAGTCAAAACTAATTAGGGTAAACAGTGGATCCCTCTTCATGTTAATGTATTGTAGTTAATCTATGAAAATTATTACTTATTGAAATCGGAAATCGCTAGAGATTATGACATATGAAGAAATGTGCCCCTATTTTCAAGTAAATAGATTTGACTTAGTCTCTAAAAATGATAAAATTTTAAATTTATTTTGGAATATATTTCCTCTCCTCGGGTGTTGCTCAAGTTAATGTTTTTCATTAAATTGAGTTAATACAGATATGTGAATGTTGAAGGTAAGTTGAAGGTTTTGGTTCTTGACTAGAGGTTATTGCAGCTTCACAAAACGGCGATTAAGAAGATGGAAAAAGCTTTTTCTTTAACGAGCAGCTCTATATATACACAAACTATGGTTTATTTATTTTTTTATGCTTAAATTATTGCTTTGTGCAGGCACACAAATGTTAGCCTCAGTAAATTCAATTTACGGCTTTGTGTGTGAGGCGTAACTCGATTAGCAGACTAATGGCTAATGGCTTAAGGTTTTAAGTACAAGCGACCTTGCAGCCAGGACACACACCACAAACATCCTATCTGCCATCTACCACCCACCATCTAACACCACCCAGCAACCTAACGGTTTTCCCTTTTATATTTGTTAATGGTATTCATCTGTCGTTTTACTTTTTTCTCCCTCACTCACTGAAGGTTCGTAGCCCGACCCAAGGGCAGAGAGAGAGAGAGAGCAGAGAGTAGAGAGCAGCGTAGCGCATCTCAAGAATGTCGGACCAGCAACGTGCCTCGTTATGCCCTCGCCTCGTCGACTATATGGCCATTGTGGGGGCGCACACGCCGCCGCCAATGCCCAAGGGCATGCAGGGCAGCAAGGGGCCGCCTGTGCAGGTGAGTTGCTTGAATAAACTACAAAGTGTAGCCATAATGAGTGTGGCACACAATTTTGGAGTGACAGCTTTAGTGTCAGTGTCAGAGATTTATAGTTATACATTTGAATTCCCACATTAAGTTGTTATTCAAATTTAAAACAGAGTATTGCACAGTCGGTACATATTAACTGCAGCACGTTCTAACGCTTCTTCATATAATTTATTTTATTTGCAGGTGCCCGATTTGTTGCGACGATATCCACCATCGGATCACGCGGACTTTCCGCTGCCGCTGGACATGGTCTACTTTTGCCAGCCCGAAGGTTGCACCAGTGTGGGACCGCGACGCACTGGTTCCGCCATACGTGACATGACCTCATTTGTGTTCGCGCTAACCGACAAGGATTCGGGCAAGACGCGCTATGGCATCTGTGTGAATTTCTATCGACCCATCGAGCGGCCCAGCTCGATTGCAGCAGCGGGTGCCGGCACAGGGACGGACCGGGGCGGTCTGATGGGTGGCAATGGGGGGGCTGGTGGACATGGTGCTGGCGGCGGTGCTGGCGGAGCGCGTGGTCGTCGTTCATCGGCATTCCGGCGGGAGTCGTGGCGGAAGAGCATGGAGCGCAGCTCGGACTCGGCATTTAGCAGGCAAGTGTGTGTTCGCAGGCTGCTTTTGGTCTGGGCTTGTTGGCTGATTTATTTGCTTTTGGCTTTTATGATCTAACGGATTCCCCCAAACCATTTCCATAATAGTTACGGCCTCTTAACTACTTCTAGCGACTACAGAAGTAACGTTGCGCCCAGCGATTCGGATCGTGAACTGACCTCGCGTCGCGACTCCGACCAGCAACGTCTCCACGCGCATCATCCTCAAGCGCAAGCAGGCCCCAAACTGGGCCTGATGGCACCCTCAGCTGATTCCGAATCGGGGGGCAGTCACTCACCGTCGCCGCGTGCATCTCGCAAGCGGACCAAGCTACGCAATCAATCGCTCACATCGCTCTGCATCATATCGCATCATCCGTTCTTCACCACTTTCCGTGAGTGCCTCTTCATACTGAAGAAGCTGATCGATGCTTGCAACGAGTCGTCGTCGCCAAAACGTGTCGGCGCCTCACAAAAACTCAATCGGGACAATGTGTGGACGGTGCTGACGGGACATGTCAGTGAAGCGACACCATCCATTGTGCTGCACGATGTGCGCGAGATCGAGACGTGGATTCTACGTCTGCTCTCCACACCAGTGCCGGTGCCGGGCTCCACGCGAGTCGAGGTATGCTTATACGCCCCGAGAAAAGACTAGCTTAAATGGGAAATGCTTGGCTTTGATATTTTAAGGAAATCTTCAATTTCATCCCTTTAACATCACTTCCTTTGTCCTTGAGTAAACTTTTTCTCTCTCTCTCTCTCTTTATAGTAGTAGTTTCCATTCAGAGTGTGATCCAGACATTAATTCATTCACTTCTTTCCAATTGTCTCATTTGACATTCACAGGTGGAGGTGCTGTCGCCGACTGTGCATGAACCTCTGCTGTTTGCACTACCGGATCACACACGTTTCTCGCTAGTTGATTTTCCGTTGCATTTGCCACTGGAGCTGCTGGGTGTGGAGACGTGCCTGAAGGTTTGGACACTGATCATACTGGAGAACAAGGTGCTCTTTCAATCGCGCGACTATAATGCCCTCTCAATGTCGGTAATGGCATTTGTGACCATGCTGTATCCGTTGGAGTACATGTTTCCAGTGATACCCTTGCTGCCCACATGCCTCAGTTGTGCCGAGCAGCTGCTGCTCGCCCCCACGCCCTTTGTCATCGGTGTGCCGGCCTCATTTCTCATCTATAAAAAGAATTTTAGGTATGTACGGCATATTGGGTGCCAGAATGACAAGCGCTTAATTGATCAATCCTCTGTCTGGTAGGCTGCCCGATGATATTTGGGTGGTGGATTTGGATTCGACGAAGCTGACACCGCCAACGGGTGGCTACGATGAGATACCCCCATTGCCCGAACCCGAGGGCACAATACTGAAGAATCATTTGAAACAGGTAAACCCCACTTGTGGTGTTGGGTCTAATGAAATTCAAGCACATATGTAGCTTGGGATTTATCTTATCCATATGATTGGTTGGGTCACCATTTTAGTTTATTGCGGCAATTACAATTCAAGTTGTGTGTGTGTGTGACAATATCAACAGGGTGTGCTTGCAGGCGCTTAGCAACTGGCATCCCTTATCCTAACGGATTAGATCAATGCTCTTGAGTGCCTCCTCCGTATGCAGAAATCGCTCGAATTTGTTGCACTTGTTGCGCATCTGGAAGACAACACTGCATCTTTCTAACCACCTTCACTTGCACATGTATGCAATATTGTTTGGCACCCTCGCACTTGAATTTTTCGAGGCGTAGCTGCTCCATGTTGGGTGATCCACTCGTGGATCCATGGAGCTTGTGACTTTTCGCATGCTTTCTGATCTATGGAGGGATGACGTCTCTTTTGTAGACATTATCGCAATTTCTATCGGGTACACAAATTGTGTGATTGGCAAGAAGTGTTCAAAATTCGGGAAATAAACGATACGAAAAAACCCAACAGCTGAGTCGAGAGCACGATTCACAAACACACCACAAAACTCAACCTAACATATGGATATGGTTTTTTGTTTTGTTTTGTCTTTCATCTATATAATTATACCCTGTACCCACAAAAATGGGTAAAAAGGTTGTAGAAAGTTTTGAAAGAATGCGACACAGGGAAAGCATTTAAGGCCGTAAAGTTTATATTTACATATATCTTCTTGATTGGCCATTCAAATTTGTCTGTATCTCAGATACCATATATATATATATATATGTATATGTTTTCTAACTATTTTTCAAAATTGCATAGCCAGCTAATTATTTATATCAATACAAAAATATATAAATATTTACTATGATTTTCTCTATATTACGTACTGTGCTGTGTGTTATATGTGGCTGTGCTGTGTGTGTGTTAGGGTACAGGGTATCTACAAGTTGAGCATACTCGACTCGAGAGTTCTTAAATGTTTTAATGATATGGTTGTTAAACTCCCACCCACACAGATGTTCGATACATTCATATCCTTCTAAATATTTGTGTATTTCATGTCACATGTACTAAATAATTGTATATATTGATATGGATGACGCTTTCATCGTCTATATGGCAAAGTGTTGAGAAAACTCTGATCTGCGCTGGCTTCAAATGATGTCGTTGGATGGAAATCCTATGCCCATTATTATCGATAGCTTGAAGCGCGCAAATCGATAATCGAACGGCCTGTGCCGTTGATAACTGTACTACTATTTTTATTACTTGTCTCTTTCCCCCAATTTTTATGATTGTGCTCTATATAATAATACTACTACTACTACTACCACTATTATTATTATTATAAGAATTGTGTATATCGCCTTGAAGTTACACTTTCAGAGCTGCCCATATATGATTTTAACATACATTTCCTGCTTTTGTATATTTGTTCTCTTTAACATTTCATTTCTATACCTCTCTATTACTCGATCTTTCTCTCTCTCTCTCCCCCTGCTCTCTCTCTCTCTTTCTTTCTTTGTCATTCTGTTTGTGTGGCTTTTACTTCGCTAATACTATACTACTACTCTACTTCTAACATTCATGCATTATCTGTTATACGAATTTGTTAAACTCGATCACAACTACAACTACAACAACAACAACTACTACTACTACTACTACTACAATATTAAAAACAACAACAACAACAACTGCAGGCTATGCTACTTATGGATGAAGCTGGACTTGGTGTAAATATCGATCACATATGTTAAAAATATTATTTTATGTTTTTGGTTACATATTTTTCGTTTGTACATACTAAAAACTACTTTGGAGTGTTGTATACTAAACATAACATATCAATAAACGTACTACTTACTAGATCTACATATATGTATATATATATATGTATATATATATTATATCGTATATGTATATAAAATCGCATGCATACAGTCATAATTTACATAGTCCATAACATATTCTAATGAACCTCCTCTAAATCTATGTATGTTTAGCTTTAGCTGAAGTGTCCCATACATACATATGTCCTTATGTGTTTTAAGCTCCCTCTCTTCTAACTGAGAACATTTTCATTATTGTCGCTCGCAAATTATTAGTTAAAAATCAAAAGTTTTTGGTTTGACGTCATCATTTTCGAGCGATAACAACACTAAAAAAAATCTTCTAACTTGCTCTCCTCTTACTCTATCTCTACATCTTGAGTATTTCGTCTTGTGATCTTCTGTGTGCATGCCTTTTCAGTCATTTCTCTTCATTTATCCTTCCTACTAACAATGTCCTTGAGATATAGAGCTCAATATTGTAATTAGCCAAAAACCAATTCCCTAAAGCCCATGGACTCTTCCCTATATTTATGTATTCGCCTCTATTGCTCTCGATCCCTCGCTCTTTAATAGTTTAGCCATGTTGAAGTTGCAGCTTTTATACTTTTGTTTGCTTAGATGAATCTATTAAAAATTCATTTCTTTGGGTCCAAATACAGGCATTAACCTCGATGACGGCCTCCAATCAAGCCGTTTCCTCACAGCAGCTGTTGCCATCAGTGCGTGATAGTCTACAAGAGCCGCCACTTTTGGGGTAAGTTCAACAAGTTAGACAAAAATAAAGACGAATCAATTCTTAGATTCGATAGCAAAAGCTTGTCTTGTATCATTACACACATATATTAATTGTGTACTGAATTCTTTATACTAGGGTCTCACAGGTGCGTCTGCCATTGCAAACGCCACCGCACTCGGCACAGACCAGCCAAAGGAACTCAGTGTCGGCACAGGGTGCTCTGATGTCTCGTCAGCCCAGTCCTATGAATTCACCGGCATTGAATCCATTTGTCTACGGCACCGATGTCGATTCGGTGGATGTGGCCACACGTGTGGCAATGGTGCGCTTCTTTAATGCCCAAAATACGTTGGCCAATTTTGCGGAGCACACACGAACATTGCGTTTATATCCGCGACCCGTTGTCGCCTTTCAAATCAATAGTTTCCTGCGATCACGTCCACGCGCCTCATCGTTCCTCAATCAGTTTGCCCGCACGCAAGCGGTGGAGTTCCTTGCGGAATGGTCGCTAACGCCCACAAATGTTGCATTCCTGCGCGTGCAGACGGGCGTCATGGATCCCATGCAGGTGGGCGATAAGCCCAAATGGTTCGCCCACTCCCTGACGCCCATACGTTTCTCTGTATGGGATGATGGCAGCTCATTGAATGGCGCATTGCGTTCCCTCAAACAGCTCGAGTGTCAGCCGACGGATGAGAGCGGCTCGGACTCGGAAGGTGCCGACAGCAGCAGCTCATCCTATAGTTCGCTTAGTGACTTTGTCTCGGAGATGGCCTCCTCGGATTTGTCGCCCAGCTTGCATGATGTATTTGGTTCATACAATCGGCCGCATGTTGTGCCGCAGACATTGTCCTCAAATTTGGATCCGGCGCTTGTCTACCATCCGCCCAGTAAGCTGCAGTATCCCGAGGGACTTGCCGGTCCTGCAATTCGAAAAGAGGATGAGGAACGTGCTGATTCGCCCGTGTCCTCATCATCGAGTCGCTCAGATCTCAGCTCGCCCAGCTTCAATCGCGACTCTGAGTTTGACTTTCAGCCAAAGTCAGGACAGCAGTCGTCACAGGGCCCCTTTGAATTGGCCACCCCGCTGGCCATGCGACTGGAGGCGACCATAAAAATGGCCAGCCTGGAAGCCGAATCTGATACAACCTCAACCGGCAAGACTATAGCCAGCAGCAAGTTACAACGCAATACTAGCGATCTGGAGCGTCCAGAGAAGAAGATTCCGGTTAGTACGTCACTCTCATATTTCTCTCTCCCTCTCTCTCTCTCCGTCAATAACAGTTACTTACCATCTGCTCTCAATAATTAATTTTCTCAGCCACCACTCACACCACCCGTTAAGCAGCCGAGTGTTACCAATATATTGGCCCGGACTGGTAGTTCCGGCTCCAGTTCTAGTAGTCCGGGTCGCCAGAGCTCGCAGAGTTCGCTCTTTGAGAACTTTGCCTCGCATGCCAAGGAGCTGGTGCGTGAGACCACCCGGCAGAGCAGCCAAGAGGGACTGCTCGCCCATGTGGATAAGGTGAGTTGTGCCCCAATACTGATATAAATGTATGTGCATCCATTGTCGGACTCAATGTGTTGTTGTACTCTTGTTGTTGATTTATTAAAAAAAAAACAAAACGCTATTCGATTAACTCGAAACTCAAAATCGATTCGTCTGCTATCGACATCCATATCGATATCGGTGATGAATTCGCACGTTCTATGTGTCCACTACTTATAAACGAATGTAATAACTAAGTATAGCATGCCCTGGACGAAGATCTAGACGATAAAATGCGTCACACTTTTGAAAAGGTTGGTACTCAGCCACTCGCACACACACTGACAAATCCAGACACACAGACACTCACATACTTCACTCATCACATTTACGAGTTTCAGCTTAGGAGTCTTACAAATAGTTACCACCTACCTTAATACATTATAAGCTAGAATACTCTTTTTTTTTGTGGTGTGGTGACAACCCTGTTACAAATTGTATTTAGTGAATCCAATCAAAAATACACATTGCTCAATATTTATGTGGACTCCCAATAGTAAAATTAGAAAAATTATCCTGTTGTTGGAACTGATGAGGTGACAACTCTGTTTCGGCATGAGTTCCATGTTACCACCTAACAGGAGTTTCCGGTATAGTTTCATACCGGAACTCTGGGTGACGGATATGGTCGCAATCCTCTAAGTCGCTATGACGCTCTGTGGGATGGATTGCTAATGTCACCACATCAAAAAAAGACGCACCTCTCAACCCTTTATACAGTAATCGCTTGTCAACTAGATCTCTGGAAACTGGAGTTATCCAATATAAAAATCTTTAACTGAAATTATTTGCCAGAGACGTGTTCCAGCGATTATTGTGCCACCTTAGTTTATAGATCGTATCCCTTTATCCTTACTTGACTAGTTTGGATGTAATTTGTAGCCTTGGTTGCCCTCATCCTGCACTCTGTGATGTTGTTTTGTAGTAGTAGCTCTCCGTAGTGCTTTCAATGAGCTTCTCAATATGGTGACTAATCTAGTTTCACACTTTGCGCCTTGAATAGTTTACGCTGCATGCGAAGAAGGCGGCTGGCGAGGCATCCAAACAGGCGCTGGAGGTGTCCAAGCAGGCGGCTGGCGTTAGCAAGAACACGCTAGAGGATCTCACTTATGTGGGCAAATCAACGTTGGGCGATCTTACGAAGACGGCCAAGGAGGCGGCCACAAAGAAGGGTATCATTAAGATTGAGGAACATGGCCCTGCTGGCAGCTCCAATGTCACCGTGCCCATCACCAACTCTCAGGTGGCCACACAGAAGCAGGTGCAGCAAAGCGGCGGCAGTGCTGGCAACAATTTCTTCTCCACCATTGGCAGCGATCTGGCCTCCTCCACAACAACAATGTTCTCGGGCATGTTTGGCAAGAGTAAGCTACGAAAATGCTTTAAATTTCATTGAATTAAATTCTCACTTTCTAAATTTGTTTTTGGTTTGTTGTTAATTCACAGAGAACCAGCAGAAGCAGGTGCAAGTGCCGCACACCAAACAAAATGTGTCCAGCGCTAGAAATAAGGCAGGCATCAACTTTGATCCCTTTCCCAGTCGAAAGGGACTTGTGGAACGGACGCCGCTCATAAAGCATGCCGGACCACGCCAAACACAGGAGGAGCTGACGCGTCAACAGAATCAGGAACGTTCGCATAGTAATGCTGAGAATCAGTCATTCCTTAAGGATGTCACCAACCAGGTGCTAGCCGGCGAGGGCGTTGGCTGGCTCAAGCTCAATCGTTTCAGAAAGCTTATGGAGGATGAATCCTATCGCACGCTGGTGCTGAGCAAGCTCAACAAAACGCTGGACAAGAAAATAGCACCCGATGATCACATAGATGATGTGGTAACTGCCTACCTTTTGATATACCCATACAAATGGATTCACTTCTAAGAGTCTCTGTATGATTTTCTTACAGTGTGTGACGAAGCCCGTGTGGAAGGGCATGCTGAAGTGTGTACAAGCAATCGCTGGCGGATTGGATGTGACCTTTAGCAATTTCGGGCTCGGTGGCATGGCATCGGTATTTCAACTAATGGAGGTGGCGCACACACATTTCTGGAGCAAGGAGATTAATGAGGGTAGCGATATGTCATCCAGTTTACTCTCGAGCCATGCGGCTAGTCCGTTGGGCAGTCGTGAGAATCTCCGCTCGCCTAGCAGCCCAAACGGTTCCCATTCGGGTTTGGGCAGCGAATGGGCATCGCCACAGGAGTCGCGGAAGAGCTCAACGCATACAGCACTCGCCGCGTCAGCAGCAACAACATCGGCTGCAGCGCGTCGTCTATCCTCGACTGATAGCCAAGATGGGCAATCGACAACGGAGATGTTCAAGGATATGTTGTCGCAAAAGAGAAGTGCCTTGAAGAATATGCTCACCTCGTTCGATTCAGATGTGAGTGTGATAAGCATTATGCGTACATACACATACCTATTATATTACTCACCCTATTTGGCATTATAGTTAGACAATCATTTAATCATTATTGCCACACCCACACCCACGCCCTCGCCCATGTCCATTGTTGCCGTTATCAATATCGTATCAGCTTGTATCGTGCGTCGCTATTGTGATCTTAATCGTAATCGTTGCCTATACATATATATATATATATATATATGTATATATATATATATATACATATGTTTGGTATAGATCGTATGTATTAATGTAGAAAGCGCTTATCAGCATATCGATATATCTAGTCGCATATAGGTATGCCGGCCACGTTCCACCCTCCACTCAATATTCAATGTTGTGCGATCGACCTATCGTGTATCCAAGCAATTATCGTATATCGTATGCCGTATATCGCTATCGTTATCGTTATCGTATCAATCGATCGTATATATCGTATGTATTGTAATTCATAGGCTGCTGGCTCCACAGGCGCCTTATCCGTAGTCAGTGATCTGCTGCCAGCTGGCAGTCTGAGCGTCCGCATGCCATCCAGCTGCCGTTCCACTGTCTCAGACACCGAATACGAAAATGTAAGTACACAGTTCGATAATCAACAAAAAATCGAATGCTACTGATCGATAAATTCCTAAAACCCATACCGATACGATGAATTCGACTCCAAGCTCCATTAGCCCTCAAACGAATCGTAAGGAGGCCAAATATCTACTTGTCAACGTTGTAGTTGTTATTGTTGTTTTTTTTTTTTTGTATTCTTTAATTAATGATCAGCACCGATTACCGATAGTAGGATTGATTCCAGTTCGTAGCCATGACTCATGTGCTCCCTATTTTCACAGACAACCACATCGAAAGATTCGAAAAAGAGCGGAAATCTGTGGTCTGGTAAATCGACGCTTAGCGCTGGTTTTCGCTATACAGGCGGACATCTGATCAATACCTCGTCATCGCCATCGCCGGACAGTCCACGGGTTTATCTATTTGAGGGCCTTCTTGGCAAGGATCGCCTTAATCTGTGGAATCAAATGCAGTTCTGGGAGGATGCCTTCTTGGATGCCGTCAGTCAGGAGCGTGATATGATTGGCATGGATCAGGTTAGTTAGTTATCTAAATATGCTAACTAATTAAAATACTTTGGAACTGATTGATTGTCTGATTTTCCGAACACTCAGGGTCCCATTGAGATGATGGAGCGCTACAAATCGCTTAGCGAATCGGAACGTAAGCGACTGGAGCATGACGAGGATCGACTACTGAGCACCATGCTCTACAACCTGACAGCCATATTGGTTATGCTAAATGTGACCAAGGATGAGATCAGACGCAAGATACGACGTCTGCTCGGCAAGAGTCACATTGGACTCGTCTATTCGCAGGAGGTGCACAATGTGGTCGATCAAATTAACAATCTAGTAAGTCAACAGCAAAGAGAGACTCTCTCTCTCGCTTCCTTAAATGTTCCAAAACTCTGACATATATATGTTTTTGCAGAATGGCAATGATATCGATCTGAAGCCTTTGGGTTCACGACTGCTGCACCGCCAGAGCTTCACCGTTCATCAGGGCATCGATGTGAATGGGCCGCTCCGTTTCATGGAGGTGCGCGATGATGGCCTCGTACTGCGCTCTGTGGATGGCACCATTGTGGAGCGCTGGTGGTACGAGCGTCTCGTCAATATGACCTACTCACCCAAAACGAAGCTACTCTGTCTCTGGCGTCGCAATGGTGGCCAGACCCAACTGCACAAATACTACACACGAAAGGTATTCCACGATGATGGATTAATCGAATTGGATAATATAGCATTAACTAAAACTAATGTTTCATATTTGTATCTACAGTGCAAGGAGCTATATAATTGTATAAAAGAGGCTATGGAGCGAGGTGGCACACCCACAAATGTACCCGAATTGGGTGGTGAGTTTCCCGTACAGGATATGAATACGGGAGAGGGCGGTCTGCTGCAGGTCTGTCTCGAGGGTGTCGGTTTGTTGTTCTCCAACAGCAAGGTAAGTGTTGATCTTCCTCTTTCTTTGTCTCACTCTCTCTCCCTATCGCTCTCTATCTCTTACACGAATATATATCACACACACACACACGTACACTTATATTTAAATACACTTACATACACACACACACATACATATCGCCGCTCTCTAAAATACTCGTTTTGTGTAAAACTTTCTCTGCATCTATATAAAAAGCCATAAACATAAGTCCATCCATAAAGTCCACCCAAACGTATCTACGGCCCAACACCCACACCCACACCCACACCCAATCCCCTAGCCTTTGCTCCCACCCACCTAACAAAAAACAGACACAAATTGACATTCAACCAAAAGCCAAGACAAAAACCCACCAATGAAAAAGAAAAAATAATAATATAATTTAAAAACAAAAAAACAAAAGAAATTCATTCCAAAATCGATCTCTCCTCTCTTTCACTCAATTGAGCCACAGAATCTGAAAGATCTTCACATATGTACAGACATTCACATATATACATATATGTATTATCTTAACTTTGTTTATTTGAAATTTATATAGATTTGGATAGGCTCTGTCATTGGTGTTGTTTGAGGGTTTGTCCCCTCGGCGAACATCAGTGCTACAGGGTCAAACTCAAAGTCCAGTTATCAAAATTCCTCGCCTCCCCACCCTCAAAATGCAAAAATGTTCCTAATGTGCGTCTATTTCTTCTATATATATATATCTACATATAAACCATTTTTTTTTTGCTCAGCAAACGTCAAAAAAAAAAGTACAGTAAAAATGCAATATAAAGGATATACATACTAAAATACTCGTACTCACATTTTGGGCGCATTTGTTTTTCATTTTTGATTTGTCAACTATGTCTATATTTCGTTTCGAATTGGGTTCATTTTCGTTCATTTTGAGTTGAATTTGAGTTTTGCTTGGATTCTCTTCGATTTGGTTTAGTCTCTTGGTTCGTTCAACTTTCTTTCACTTTGTGTATCGTCGCAAAGCAAATGATGCTGTGTCATCTGTGTCAAAATCCGTTAGTTGAATGATATATTTGGTATGTGATACAAGGACCTTCTCAATCCTTCGCATTATGATTTTCATATACTACGAATAGGATAATACCTAGCTTTAAACATAAATATGAGACAGGCGTTTTGACTCTCGCACTGTGGCTATAGCGGCTTCACTCCATACAAGTTGAGGCATTGTCAGTCTTCGTCTATATAACTGGACGATCTTACATTTATAAAAGATAAATATTTTCTTTTTGAGAGCCCATGAAAATCGCTTTCGGTTTTCCCCATATAGCAGAGTAACAAACTGATTGTTCTTAAATTAACCCGCCCGTTTTTCTCCTTCATATAAGGAATATATGTCGTATCGTATCTACTGCATATCTTCAATATATAAACAATATTATCATTTTGGCAATTTGTTCTTGCGACTGGTTCTACTTTTTTGTCTTTCCTTATTGCCGTTTAATCATGTACCTAATCGTTCCCAAACCTAACCCAACTATAATTTAAGTCTATAGAAAATTATCAACATATTTTACCTAATCTAACTTAACATTGCGACATTCTCTCACTTTTCGGTTTTGGCCTTCATTTGATACGTTTAATTTCACTCGCCTTCTGTATATGTATTCGTTTTTTTTTTTACTTATATAAGACATATATATTGCGAAAAAGTCCAACAACAGAATATTTTATAAAAAAAAATGAAAAATTTATAAAATAAAAAATATAAAAAAATCGTCCCAATCGAAATCAAAATTATATGAAATAAAAAAAATCCATATATCATATAACCCATTTATTGTGCTAGTGAATGTACTGAATGCTATATTCATTATACTCTCTACTTTATTTAATTATTCTAACCAATTAAACACATTTTCTTATCTTATCATCATCTTATAATTACGCTTACGATTCTATATCCTCAAAATGGGCATTATGTTTTTAATTTTTTTTTGGTTGTTCATTGTTACAATTACAATTGTTCTTGACTTTGTTTCTTACTCGTATATATAATATCGTTCTTAAGATACTTTCGAGCGATTCCAGGCAACTCTTATCATTGTCATAATCTTTTTTCAAATTCCTTTCGCTACTTTTTTGTAATGTGTACAATTTCAATTAAAAAACAACAATAACTAAAAATAATATGTGATAGGGCTCTATGTATATTTAAAGATAAGAATTATGTTTTTTGTTTTTTTGTTTTTCTTTTGAGAGCCGGATCCTATTAAGGCCTCATTAAAAACTCTAAAGTGTAAACGAGACTAGGATCGAATATTTCTGTTTGTTTTTTTTTATCGAATCTTACCTTGCGCTGTATTAAAACAAAAATTAAGTATACTTTCTACCCTTATTTATTGTATATACTAAAACGAAAAGTCTTCGCCCTGCTCTCTTTTTCGTATGCAGAAGAGAGCGAGAGAGCTGGTCTCTGTGTGTGCGAGTGTATCGGCATATCATTTCTATTTCCGTTTCTTTTTTCTTTGCTAATGTTTCTTCAACTTTTGTTCCAATATTTGACCACAACTAGGCAAAGAACCACCGCTCCCAAAAAAAAAAATCTAGAAAAATGAATATATATATACATATATATATATTACATATATATATGTATATATATATATACATATTTTGTGCATATTTTAAGCTGGTCACTTTTGAGATGGTCCTTGTGTATATTTCCAGTTTCTCAATTTTTTAAATTTTCTATTTAGTTGCCTTTGCGTTGAAATTTTGTTTTCGTATTCGGTATGTATTTGATATTTTTGTATCTTTTATCTTATTATTCTGTCTTCCTCTTTCTTACTTCCACTCTCTCGCTCTCTTTTTCCATTTGTCTTCTCGCTCTCTACACCTCCTCTCTCTCTCTCTCTCTCTCTCTCTTTTACATGCAAAGTTTGTTAGCTCTCTTACAGCTCAAATTTTTGTATTCGATTTCGTTTCTTTCTATTTGGTTGTTATTATTATGTTATTCGTCTTTCTTTTTAATATTTCTGAATGAAAAATAAACCACAACAACAACAACAGCAACAAAAACAATAACTAAGATTTAGCTGCCCCACCCATTGTATACCGTTATAACCCCTAAAGTCCCATCTCCAAACAAAAAAAAAATTATATTACGACTCTTTACACAACAACAACAACAACAACCACATTTCATAACGTTTCTCTTTAGTGCAACAAAAAAAACAAAAAAAAAAATCGCTAGATATTCTACTCTAATTTTTGCAATCGAACAGATACCAAAAAAAAAAAAAAAAAATTTACACCAAACCCTCAAAAAAAATATATATATGTAAACTATATTTAAAAATAAATCAAAAAGCGTTTTGTCAACTTTCTTTTTATAATTTTCTTTGTTGTTTGTTTAATGTTTTTTATCGTACGTGGAACGCTGCTCCGTTGCTCTCCCATTTGTGGACTCGGATTCAAACACGTTCCCTACGAATCGAATCAAAACGTTACGAATAATTCCAATGATTGGTCAACCTTTCTCACATGCCAAATTAACAAACCAAATAAAAAAAAAATACAAAAACATAAAAAATTGAAATGAAAATAAAACAAATATTCACAATACGATCTGAATATGTCGTATACGATAAAGGATTTCGAGGTATTGCAATGAACAAATTTATTGTTATATTTGAACTTAAATTTATAAGCAACTATTGTTCTTTAAGTCCTGTTCCCTACCCCCTCCTCCCCAACAAACTTTGCGTTTCTTTAATCCAAATATCATTGTTTTTTCTTAATTCACTTTTTACGTTTTCAAAACACTTGAATTTTAAACACCCACGCAAAAAAAGGCATACAACAGCGTAAATAAAACAACCTATACAAAAAAAAAAAAAAAAATTGTAGTTGATATATTTGAATTTAAATAATATATATATATATATCAAGTTATGTATATTATTTATAAGCTTTTACGTTTTGAGATTATGTTGTAATTGAAACTGTTGGTTGGATGGTTGGTTTGTTTGTTACATTTAAACCAAAGCCGTAAACTTCTCATTGACGTTTTCTACTATTTCTACTATTCATTTTTAAATATTTATATTAATATTAAATATATATATATTATATATATATATATATTTGATATATTTGATTTCATTTTAGTTCCATTTGTTTAATTTCTCACAGTTATTTTCCGTGCTCACTTTCATTTTCATTTCATTTGCGTTTCAATTCCAATACGAATACTGCATATACATATATAGCGGGCGTTTGGAACGTTTTGGAACTAATACATCAAATAGATATATATATATATATTTTATTGTGTGTGCTCTTTAGTTTTTGAGTTGTACTCTCTGTCTCTCTCTCTCTCTCTCTCTCTCTCTCTCTCTATTTCTCTCTCTGTCTCTATACTAACACACACACACACACATAGACACACACACACCCAGTGGACAATGATACACACACTTTGGGGGTCACTCAACCAGTTTGTTTTGCTGTGCGCTGCAAGAGCAGACGAACTGCACGATTAACTGCTATCGATAACGATAACAGCTTCAGTCTTTTGCACATTGTACAGCACAGTTTCTAGGGAAAACACTCGACTCTCTTGCATACTTAATTGTCAGTCTGTATGATTCCGTTTATTTCTCCCACCTTCGACGTTTCCCAGCGCTTGTTCTACCTGGTTGCCAAACCCCTTACACACATACACACACACACACATCTATATATATATACGCACACAAACACACACACACACACACACAAACAGACAAACATACACATCTCAAGTTCTAATACGTCTTTTGAGTTTGCTTTTGATTTAGCACTAGTTAAGAGCAAGTTCTTTGAATGTTTAACATACGCTCAAAAACACATTCACAAGACACAAGCACACAGATTTACACACAGTTATCTGCGTTACTCAACAGATCTGTTCACAATTTTCTATATAACATACATAGTTTGTAGCTGTAGCCGTAGTTGTAGCTGTTTCTCTACCCAAATTAGTTGGGTCCAATATGAAATATTTAACAACTGATTAGAAACCAGGATTATCTCGGTTCCATTACGAAAGTTTAGGTACCAAATATTTGTTCGGCTTGCTGAATATTTTCAACGATTGTTTGCGATCTATTTATTATTATAGAGTCATCGTAAAAGCAACTTTCATTTTCCCAACTTAATTGTTGTTTAGTGTCACTTAGGAAACAATCCTAAGTCTTTCAATTTCGTCTTTGTTCTTTGATGTGAGTTTAATTTGCTAAAGCGCAAGCAATCTGAGACAAATCCAAAAACAAAACAAAAAATGCATAAAAAAATAAAAAAACAATAGTGTTATAAAATGAAAACTTGTTATTGTTTATAATTTTGCTTGTGTAGATTTCTTAACGTCAACTGGCTGACAACGTTTTATTTTCAGTTTCTATCCTTCAATTTTCACTTATTTAATTTTTTACAACAAATCTACAGTAGAGTACAAATATTAAACAAAATGCTAAAAAAACAAACAAACTCTTTCCCGCTCTCATTCTGAATTGCCCATTCCGTTCGAAAATAGTAAAGCATGTTGTTACTGTAACCGATGTGTTTGCCGCCTAAACTTAATTTTGAAACCAGCCCGAAAACCGAAACCGCTGAACAATCGAATCACTTAAATCACATCCATCACAAATCACAGAGCGACAGCAAGATACTATTTAGTATGCTAATGCTATGCTTAGAGGAATACTCTCTCTCTCATCTCATTCATGCTCTTTACTGCTACTTTAAGCGAACCCCAACTTCCTTCACCCCTTAAGACCTACCTTTCTCAAAAAAAAAAAAGGAAAAAACAACAAAAAAACTTACAGCCGTACAAATAAAAACTTGAAGTAATTCTTTACTGATTTCTATACTTAATACATTGTATATTTTTGTTGTCATTGCCCTTTACTTTAATACACATATAAATACACACACACACATACTTACACACAGACACGCGCACACATACAACCAATACAGTCACAGACACAGCCTTTGAGTACAATGTATAGCTGTTTTTGTATTAGTGCAAAAATTTGAATTGAAACTTAATGCCAATTGAATAGTTCTACTAATCGCCCCGCCCCCAGTCCACCCAACTACTTCTCGTACTATATATATCTAAACTCCCAGCTAATTTATGAACGACCATCTCACAAGTGCTAATTAGAACAACCAACTGAGCAAATCGATATTTATCGATAAAACCAAAATAAAAAAAAATACAAAGTAAACTTTTTTTTTTATTATATATATATATATAAAAAATAAATCAAAATAATAAACTATCAACTGAACTAATTAAAAAATTGTTTCACATCAGTTTGCTGCGTTCTCAAATCTTTCATTTCTGATTTGTTGTGTTTTTTTTTTGTTTTTTTTTTTTTTTTCTTATCGTTGAACAGAAAATTGTTAAGTTTTTGTTGTTTCCGGTTTTGTACTTATATTTCCTTTGATCTTTTCAATTGTTTCACTTTCACTTGGCTTTTCATTTGGTCTCTTTGCCCTTATAATAACACTATTAAAATATACTTTCTAACAGTACAGACCTTGTGTAAATTAAATTGTGAAATATGAAATGAAAAAAGAAAAAAATAAAAATAAACAAACTGTAAATCGATCGCATGCTGTTACAGCACTCGCAGCTGCTTTTCAGCTTCTTGCTTTTTGCTTTGATTTTGTTTTGTTTTGTTCTGTTTTGTTTTGTGATTGTTGCATGCTGTCTGAATCTGCATCTGCCTCCGCCTCTGCCTCAATTTACTCAATACTGCTTCTGTTTCTGCCTGCTCATGCGCTTGCGTAGCATTAAGCTTCTGTTTGCATCGCCATGTCACGCGTTGCGCTTGAGTTTCCGTTTCCGTATCCGTATCAATTCCATTTCGTTTTGTTCCGTTGCGTTGAATGTTAGTTCCACACACACACACACACACACACACTATTACAGCTAAACACACACATACACAACAAATGAAATGAAACTGAAGTAAAAAATATATTTTTTTAAGTAAATATATATATATATATATATATTTATATATACATATATATTTTTATATATATTTATATTTAATACATAAGCGTATATGTTATTTTACCTGATACATATGTATGTATTACCTACTAATCCACAAGTCTTTTTGTGTGACAAATCTTGTTTGGTTTTCTGCCGATTTTCCATTTTTTAATTGCGTTCCGTTCATTCCGTTCCACTTTTGAGTTCCTTGCCGTACTGTTAGTTACGGTACCCCCACCTTCCCAAAAAAAAAGAAAGAAAATCACATATCCATCGCTCTGTTCGAGTCACGCTAAAATTCTAAAATTTGTACCAAAAATAATTTCAGTTTTTTGTGCGTTTGGATCACATACGCAAATGCTTCACACAGAAGGGCGGAATATTTGTATTGGAAGAGTACAGTAAGTCCTTTTTGACCAGACCGAAGCGTCTCTTATTGTACAATGCATTCAATGTTTTACTTGATTCTCCACTTGTTCTCCATTGCAGATCCCAAGACCCGAAATCTTGTCCAGCGGAAATATCAGTCAAGCATGGTAAGTGTGCTACTCCAATTCCATTACTCACCCATCGCACCCTCATTAAGATGCACCAAAAATTGTTGTAAGTTTCTGTTCATCAACATTGATCGAAATCTTGCAATATTTGTATTTGTTTTTTGTTTTTTTTTTGTTTTCTTTTTACAAAATTTAATTGAAAACTCAATTTTTGGCATCGTTCGGCATTTTACTAATATGAGTTGCATTCTATGCATTTATAGAAAGCATATTTAAATAGTAAATACTGTACATATGTATGGCACATGAAATGCACCACCAACTTTTGTATATACAACATACATCTATAATATACATATATATATATAAATCAGTATGTTTGATTTGCCTTTCCTTTTTCTATTCGTTTCGTTTCGTTCTTTGCTGCCACTTTCGTTTCGTTACCTTGTCAACATTTCTATGTATACGACCAACAATAACAACAACCACAACTACAACTACAACAAATAATAACAACAACAACAACAACATGCCTGCAACTACCACCACGACCACTTAACTAACACAATCCCATCAATCACACATCAATCATTGATCAATCAACATAAAACACGCTGAAACATCCTTAAAACCCGTGAATGAAACATGAAACTGAAACAAAACAAAACCAATTACAAAACCAATCCCATAAATAAGGCATCTGAAATTGTATTGAGCTTTCATCGTGTGACGTCCGTTCGATTCGCATACATTTGTCATCTGAACGGCAAGGAGAAGGCGCTGGCGGCTGAAGCAAACACTGGAATGGAATATAGCTCTAAACCAACAATGGCAACAATTTCCAATGTCTCAATTTAAAAATGTGCATTAAAAATGAAAAAAAAACAAAATATATATATATATATAAACTAGAGAAAAGTATCCCAATACGTTGTAAATAAATTTCCAATTGCCAATTGTTTATTTCTTATGTATGTCTGTGTGTGCGTGTGTGTATGAGTGAGTACTCTCTTTTCACAACAATAACAATAACAATAACAATCACAACAATAACAAATGTCACTCATCAAGCGCAAGCTGTATAAAGTTGATTTAATTACTTATTACCATAGCTGTGGCACTACGTTTTTTTCTTTTGTTGTTGTTCCATTCCACATTGTACCACAGTGCATGCTTTTCTTTTTATAAAATTCCTTCTTTTTTTTTTTGTTTAAGTTTTGTGCGTTTGTTAGTTTCTTACACGTTGTGATTAACACGAACACCAAAAAAAAAAACAAACAAACAAAAAGAAAACAAAAAACGCAACACAAAAACCACCACAAACCACCGTTTCATTCAACAATACTATATATGCCACAATACTAACGATCGATTCCGCCATACGCAGTCCGATCAGATATGCTATTCGGTGTTGTGCGTCTTCAGCTATGTCGCCGCTGGACAGGATCAGAAGAAGAATCCGGTCGTAATAACACCACAAATACAGGACATACACGCACAGCACAAGCAAAAGCATCAGCAAAAATCGAACTCAGCAACAATTGCAGCAACAACAGTGACAACAACTGTGACCACAACGGGAGTTGCAGTTGCTGGTACAGCTCAGCCACCGTCACCGTTGCAGTTGCAGTCGCATTCGCCGCGTGCCGCAATCACAAACATCATCAACATCAACAGCAGCGGTAACGTTGGCAAACAGCAGTCACTGGGCACTGTTACCATACGCCATACGTTGCCCATGCAGAAGCCCACCATAACCATGTCAACGGTGCAGCCGCAGGCAAAGCTACCAGGAACAGCAACCACAGCAACAGCAACAGCAACACCAACGCCCACACCGATACCGATGTCGACGCCATCGTCTGCCCAACATTTGCCGCAGTTGCCGCCTCGTGTGCCATCGCAGCCATCCACAGAGAGTTTGGCCAGCATTAGCTCATCATCGCCGCCGTCGCATAAGCAGCGGATTGCAGCACCGCTCGGTCCACCACCAGCGATACCGCCACGCACCGGCGCCATTGCCCGCAGCGTTTCCATACAAACGCCGCCAAGCGGTCGCAGCTCGTTTGTGCGTCAAGCGTCGGCGAATTCAACGCCGCCGCAATATACGCCGCAGCCGCCGCCACCATTTGTCATACCCAAGCGTCTGGCGCGCGCATCGACACTAACCGCAGCACCACAACAGCAACACCACCAACATCAGCAACACCAACATTATCAACAGCAACAGCAGCAGCAGCAGCAGCGCGCCAGTTACGGCAGTGTCGCCGCTGCGTTGCAGTCAATGCCCGAGGCCGTTGCCAACGCTGGTTCGCATTCCCATTCCAATTCAAGTTCCACTTCCAATTCCACATCGAATTCCAGCACTGGTTACGTTGCAGGTGCATCGCCTCAGGCCCATCGCAAGCACTGACGAAGGAGTTCATTTTTCAAATTTAGTAGTGGTTCAGGTGGTGGTGCTGCTAGTGGCGGGAGTAGTGGTGGTGGTGGTGGTGATGGCGGTGGTGGTGGTGGTGGACCCACTGGCGAGGAACCGCATCCCCATCCGCACAGACGCGATGTCTGCCGCACTATTTGCATACCCTGGCTTTAAGCTGCTGATCGAGCATCCAAATTTAATTTCCGCGCAAACCGAAATGTTATTTTTATTATCTTTTGTTTTTACAGCATATCCTTGCAGATTTGATTGGTTTTTGAGTGTAGAGATAATGTTCCTAGAATTGCTTAACACGATCGTCCGAGGTTTTAAGAAAACCCTCTGCTTTTCCAATATTATAACCATAGATTTCAGCACCTCGCCTATGCTTCTTGGATTCTAGAAAGATAATATACTAGGAATGATCGTTTTATTTCGATAATACCTATATGGCGTACACTCTCCTACTTTGGAGCTAGAACGCCCCTTCCCCTAAAGCAGAATTGGTTTTTAAGAACGTACTTAGATGGATTCCTAATGCTGTTATACTATACTATTAACCGCTCCGATTCGGTATTAAAGTACCAGGCGTATTTTTGCACCTTATCGCTTGTTCCTATGACATCTGTTTAGGATAGAGTCTGTTACGAGTTATAATAATGATAATGATACATAAAACATATATGCTAAAGAATAATACAATTGTTATCTATGTATACGAGTATAAGTTGCAACTAGTTCTTGTTATATTTACTGACTATACTACTACAGCTAGGGTATTAGCTAATCTACGAATTGTTCTCTGTGCGATAAAATAGATTGTTCATTTGCTAAATACGCTAAATATATATATATATATATTTATATATATATCCACGATATTTATAGAACACATTGCTAGCCTAACCGTATCATATCATTAGTTCACACTATGCATAACAGACACATACATTTACTATTAACCTGGAGGAGAAATATATTAAAATTTAGATCGAATCAGGCACAGTATGTATATATATATATCTATACATATATATGTATATGGATTATAGATCGAATATGGGCACAAAAACAAATAACAACACATTTATGGAAATTGAAGGCAATCTAGATAGGGAAATGTAACATACCATATATTATTATATTCTTATAACTAATCCAAAGCTATTTTCAAGGAATTTAACTAGTTGTTAATCGAATGAAAATAAAACTTAACTGAAACATGTGAAGAAAGCATCCAAATTGCAATACGATTAGTAAAACTTAAGTAAGAACCAGATGGAATCGTCTCGCAAGAAGGTATATATATATTTATATAGCTTAAGGAATTGTCAGGGAACACATTGTAACATAAACAAAAATAGTCGACAGATTTAACAGTGCTTTAACAGATTTGGATAGCAATATGTATGTGTGTGTGCGTATGCGTATCTTAATATGTAACATGTCTAACAGAGTTCAGCAAGAGTATATGAATCTATATACATATATATATCGACTATACTTATATGTAACTCCAACTAACTATCCATATATGTATATATATTGTATACAAATAACGTATAAATATTTTTGTTGTTGATACAAATTTGTTGGCTTTATCTATATCTATATATCGATACATACATACATACATATGTATATATGATTATGTCTAATCTAATACATATTCAAAGAAATTAATTGTATTTTCCATAGTTCAAAATTGCGTGCAAATAAACAATACCAGAAATTCTAAGATAACATATATACTATTTATTCAGTTCATTCATTCTAATCTTGGATTACCCGACCAATTACTTGCATAAATGTGGCTACATCTGTATATTAGTGTCGTTCTACAGAATAGACAGAATTGTTACTCTTTGATGACGCAAATTGAAGCATTTCGCCTTGCCCCAATTCCAATTCTAAAGTCCGACACCCGCCTTATCGACCACAGTCTAATTTTTTATTTGCCCGACCCTAATCAAAAACGCTTTCCTTTCAAAGCATGTTTTTGCGTACTTTTCCATTTAGATTTCAGTGCGTACAAATTGATATATGGCCACCCCCCATATAGCTTGTAAGTAACAGAGAAAGTTCAGATTCTATGCTTTAGCTACACACTATCTAATCTCAGACCTGCGCTTAAATTGAAATAAAATTTTGTTTTATTTTGATTTCTCCGTTTATTTTGATTTATTTTCACTTAATCGTATTATAATTATGAGAGACACAAAAAATATAAACATTATGATGATGACAAGTCGAAATACATTTAGTTAGGTATATGAAGATTAGAAGGTTCAAGAGGGTAACTCAATACAATTAAGGGCGTGGCTGCATGCGTACCTGGATACCATTACCACTTTTCATGATCAGCTCGGCCAATGGCTGTGGCTCATAACCGGCAACAGGCAGGAACTGATAATGCCGCAATATCATCGACAGCGAACACTTCAGCTCCAGCATGGCGAACTTTTGACCTGGCGATACGAATATGGAATGCAGTTAATTAATTAATGGGTTGGAAAATAATATTGAAAGGGGTCGTAAATACCTATGCAGTTGCGTGGTCCGGCGCTGAAGGCGGCAAAGGCAAATGGATGCAGGTTCTGTTCGTTGAGATAGAATCGATCGGGATCGAAGCGTTCCGGATTGGGGAAACTATCGGGATCGCGATGGAGCATATAAACCAGGCAACTAACACTGGCCCCCTTCGGCACTGTCACGTTGCCCACCTGCAGATCGTCGCGCACCTGCCGTGAATAGAATGGTACCGCGGGATATAAGCGCAGCGTCTCCTTGATGACTGCCTCCAGATAGGGCATCGATTCCTTTTCATGTCCCTCTCGCTCCACAGCCTCCTCGTAGGCGCGCTGCTGCACATCGGCGTGCTTAGACAACAGATAAAGGGCAAAGGCTATCGCCGAGCTGGTCGTATCGTGCCCCTCAAACATGAAAGTGTCCACCTCCTCTCGTATATCCAAATCGGTCAGCTCTACGCCCCCACCCTCCATCTGCGACAGCAAGAGCATATCAAGGAATGCCAAACGTCGCTTGGCCCCCACATCGTTGTCATTATTAGCCTCAACCTTCTGTTGAGACTCCTGCTGCAGCTGCTTGCGGCGCATTTGAATGACTCGATGCGTTTCTGCGTGCAGGACGCGCAGAGCAGCATTACGCGCTCGTCCCGCTGAGGAGAATTTGAATATTATTGGAAAACGCTGCCAGAAGGAGAAGCTCTGCTGGTGTAAAATCCGGCAAATGCTGAAATATATGTTAGGGTTAGGGTATAAAGTACACTGCCATTATTCCAACATCAACTTACGCCTGCACTGCTTGCACATATTCGGAATCGCTCTGCATTTGGGCGTGCTTCTTGATGCCCATCGCTGTCTCCAAGATAGAGTCCAAAGCGAAGAGCGTGATGTATGGATAGATGTTGAAGGGTTCGCCATTGGCCTTTTCGCGCAATTTGCTAACCAGGATGCGACAATTCTCCTCCATTGGCTCCTTGAACTCGCTCAGTATGCGAAAGTGGAAGCCCGGCGTCAGCAGCTTGCGGCGCCGATGCCAAGTCTCGCCGCCATTGGTGAGCAGACCCTTGCCTAGCCAACACTCCAATTGCTGATAGCTATTTGATTTGTACAGCAACGCATTGCTGCTCAGCAGCTGCTTCATGTCCTCGGGCGTGGTGAAGAACACCATCAGATCCTTGCCAAACCATATGCGAAAAACGGGTCCATGCCGCGCCCGCAACTCCTTCAGCCATTTGAGTACCTCTGCCGAGGTAGAGTTTATTGACTTCTGACTTTGTTCATGTTTATACGTGAGTTGTTCTGCTGCTCCACTTACCGCCTCTCTTCACATTGGCAATCAGTTCACTCACAGTGGGACCTGGTAGTGTTTTGGAAAAGCGTATCAGGTGCACAAACCTCAGAATCTGCGGCAAGTAGCGCAGAAAAATCGCCCACACGGCAAACGCGAGCAATGCCACAGTATTCATAGTGCAAAAAAAAAAAAACAAAGAACTAAAACAGGTAAACTATCTTCACAATTAAAATTGTAAATATATATATTTTTTTAATTTGTAGCTTTAGAATGCGCGCCGGACAACCGCTCGGCTCTAAGCAACTAATACAACTGATTTATATTTCTTTCAGCGACAGCTTGAATTAGTTGATACCTGCGAGTTGCACAAAATTATATACTCTAACAATCAGTTTGTATGCGAAAATTATGAAATTGTCGATGCAGTACATTTATATCTAATAGATACAAACTACGAACATGAAAAAATCTTTAATTACAATAATCAATCGTTTCTCTGACATCTCTGTAATATTTGAGAAAATATTAATTCGCCTAGTTAAATATGCTATGTAATATTAAAAAGAGTACAGTTCTGATTTGATTATTAGTTACTAAGACTTGAGTAATTAGTACTATTTTCAGACTCAGTCGACTAGCAATTCTAAAATTATATAAATATTTCGACTGTAAAAAAGTTAGTATCACATTAAGTAAATAGAAAATCTCATAATGATCAATTATGTACATACTCCCAACCGCAGGCAGTGCAAAATGTAACTGGTAACAACTAGTCGAGAGTGTCTTTAACCCACATGCGAATATTCTCATATACATACACATTCAACATTTGCGTTGAAAGTTAATTCAGCTAGTTGCTTGGCTACGAACTGGTTTTTGCTTCGAATTAGGCGCTTTCCCAGAACAATCGTAATTGCTGCAATCTTAACTGCTGAAAATAGATATTATCAAGACCCACAACGGGCTTTATCTGTTATAAACATATAAATATTTATTCAGATATATATTCAAAAATCACATTTTTGGCCCCAGTCTAATAGTACCAGAGTCATATGCAATATGCGAATTGTTTTTGAGTTATTCATATTCAGTCCAAAGTTCAGTATGTCATGTTGTGCAATGCATAGTAATTCATACAATTACTATTTGGATGCATACAGCATAAATATATGTAAATAAGTAATACTTATATAGTAACAGAGAGGTGGAGTCGACCCACTGAATACCTTAATAAACAATAATCAATAATGATAAATAAGTAGTTGACTTCAGTTGCAGTTCTTAAATCATAGCTTAAGCTCTTTTTTTTTTTGTTTTGTTAAAGATTATTGTTAATAAGACCTATGCTGAAAACATTTAATTATTTATTCTTTAAAAAAGTAGCAAGAAAGGAAACTTGTTTAAAAATAACAAAAAATGTAAACAAAATATGAGCAGCTAAAAATAAAATCGAAAGTATTTTATGAAATCAGTTAAGTTCAGCACATATAGATAAGGACTGTTTTATATATAGACTAGTTCACTATACCTTATCTACCTCGAGTGTACATTTGAACAAATATGTGTATATATATGCATACTTATATAGTTATGTGTAAAGCTTGGACGACTTTTAGGCTGCTTTCATATTCGTTCGAACAACAATTGGTAGCAAACCTTACGGCTGAAACAACCGATACTGCTTGAGTAGCACAAACCAATTAAGACTGGTTTACATCGGGTGTAACGATTTATTCCCAATAGCTGGTGTAATTCTCAGTGCCTTTTGTCAGGTTAGTTAGAAGAACCGGATCAAGAGCACAAATGGCAAATCAAAAAAAAACAAAATGCAAATTTCTAAAATTAGTATTATAAGATGTAAGAATGCTTTAATTGAGTTAGCTCGACTACGATATACCCTGAACATATTTTGTAGTTCCATCGACAAATTTCCCTTTTGCACACTCAAATTTAAGCAGGACTGCAATTGCTCTCGCTTCTTATGTCAGACACCGGCATATATATATATATCTATATATATATATATACCAACATATGATGTGTTGCAGATGCATCATTCTACTTGTTACATACAATTGCACAAAACCACAATGCCTATCTTATCCATCTATCTTTTCAAAGAGGCAAACAAATAAAAAGTCCCTGTTTTAATTTCGTGACGATTAATTATACTGTTCGCAACCAGTTCTAGTTTCTATACCCAGAACGCAATAAAAATGGGTAAAACGCGAATTATAAAATTTTGTAAAGTTAAAGGTAGACTGGACAACAGTATTCTTATTTCTTTTAATTGTAGATTGATATGCAGCAGATAAGCTTTAGGTAAGTTTCACTATCGAAATGCCATTTGTTGGGTCAAGGTCGTCTACTCATTTGGCAGTACAACAACACGACAACAACAACCCCCCGAAACAAAGAAGGGCAACACGCGTGTCTTTGGGGCAATCAGCCAGCTGTCTGTCTTTCGGTCTGGGCGATGCCCGATGGTCGACAGTTGAGTTGATGCCAGATTACCCAATGACCAATGCCCATTGCGAGTTGGACGACCGACAACCAACAGCAGTCAACGGTAGAGCTCGATTTGTGTGCGTGGGTTACGCACTTGGACGTGTTTGCTCGGACGTGTCGACTTTTTTTCTTTTTGGGGAGCGGCAGCAGTACGCAGTCCAAAATGTTGGAATAATGGGATCGTGTTATGCACTTGACATACGTTTACTTATGGTAAACACCAAAAGAAAAGCATGTAATTGCAAGGGCGCGAAAAGAAGAAGATGCCTTGCAAATAGGTCTAAAATACTTGAGTATTGTGTTCTCTTATATTCTCGTATATCATACGAAAAATTGCTCTAACTTGTAGTAAATTGCCATATTTTTGGTAGCTTTCTTGTAACTTATACTATTAATAAGGCAAACGATTGCTATAATATAAAATAAAAGCTGAGCCAGTAAACTTAATTACTTGTTTCTGAATTTTAGAAAGAAATTGGGGTTGCATTTCTATTTGTTAGAAAGGTTTTTCTTAATAATATAAATTGTGTTTGCCATTTGTAAATCGGTTAAGTTTTGACATCGCTAGCATAATCAATGTCAGTCAGTCGAACAAACATTCAACACATGAATTCGCTTAGTGCAGCACTTAAGTAGTTTATGTTATTAATGTCAATGCTTAATTTAAATTAAATTGAGACACATGCTAAGTAGGTTAGATCTGATAAATGTCATATCAATCGCTGAGGCAGCAGTTAAACCACCGCTACCCCCTACCAATCCCCCATTCCATGAGAATTGGAAATTTCAATGCGAATGTATGGCAACAACAATCAAACAGCAGCAGCAGCAGCAGCAGCAGCAACAACAACTCATCGCATTGGATTGCATCCGATCTTGACCTTGGCATACCAAAAAAAAAAAAAAGTGCTGAACAACGCACGCTCCACAAATATGCAGCTGTTGCTTTGCGTAGGGAGAAGCTGGCGATAGGGGGGTGGGAGAAGGGGATAGGAAAAAGGTGTTGCGATGATGACAATTTGCATTCCGAACGCTGACAATAGCAAATTTATCCATGAAATTGGTCTGCCTGGTCAACCCATCCATCCATCCCATCTTCGCTCAGTACTATCTTCAGCTCTGGGAACCTGTTTTCAAAAGGCGTGTCTCAGCGTACATGACAAGTGCTATTTTTCATAATATATACAAGCATACATTTATATGTATAAAGATGCATCACTCGTTTTATCTATTTTATCTAGCATCTGTATTGATTATTTAAACAAATTGAGCAACCCATTGTTCTATCTGAGTGATCATAAATAGTTGTAAGACTCGAGACTCGAGACTATGTTGATTGAGTTATGGGAACCTGCTTAGTAAATACTTATCAAGTCACATTGAATTGTTCCGCCTAGCATCATTCAATTCCTCCCCCTTGATTTAATCAAGTTTAGTCTGGGAAATGGATATGCCTACAATTAGTATTTTAATTAGTTAAATTATGAATTAAAAGCGAATTGTATTTGAATTGTAAAGCAAAGTTCTCTATAATTCCCATATATAACGTTCGACTATAGCCTATTCAAATCTTCTTGTTTACACCTTACATTATGAAAAAGCATTGTTTCTCTTAGATATTTCTTTTCGTTGTTCATTAAGTATTAACTTAACGAGCCCAACCCGGGTGAGGAGGCTGTAATATTTGAGTAGCGCTACAATCCAATTGACAGCACATTGCTCGCCAAATAAATTGGGTAAATGTTTACTTGACGTTTTGGAGACCCGACTTGTTGGACAACTATATACAAAGGTATACACACTCGTACTACGAGCCAATGGACTTCCGTTGAGACTTGGGCAAATATCAGTTTAGTTGGATCAATAAATGGATGGGTGAGTGTCGATGAGTTGGCACATTCAGTTTGTGGCGAATTGGACAAGATGGGCGGTACGAGATGGTCGCGCTCCATTGCGGTTACTGATTATTAGATGACGGCACTTAGTCTGCAAGCTGTTGTGACCAAATTATTGTCCAAAGTACGAGACCTTTGGAATGGAGTGTTCCATTGACTCAAAGCCGCGCCTCAGTGAGTTTACTTTAGTTCCGGCTAAAAACAGATGGACGCAAATTTTGTACGCCAATCTCAAATATTTGTAGTACTAACAGACTGATTTTAATTCATTAAAGCCATGGTTTTAAAAAATCAATCCAGGAAAACGTGTTCAGAAATATATTTTAATTGAAAAAGATTAGTTGTCAGATCCGAATTTTGTTGAAGATTTTTTGCAAAGTTTTTCAAAATGCAAATTGCGAATTTGTTATTGATTTAAATTAGCTATTTATCTGATGGATGTCGTTGGCAGCTAGAACAACTTTCAGTAACAGGAAAATATTGTTTCAGCCCAATAATGATTATTAATTAAGTAGCCAAATAGAAGAGTTGATAACATTTTCAGCAATTCGTGAACCTTTAAAAGCTCAATGGACGGCACAAAGGTCACTTATACAAAAAAAGAACAAAAAACGATTTGCAAAGTTGTTGAACAGCCTCTAATAAGCAAATGATAAAAAACAAGAAACGATTCTGATGTAAGCAAATTGAACACAAACAAGAATGTGCGTAAGTCAGTCCGCCCGACTTAAGAGTTGCCCAGTAATTTGGCAGCCCAGGCCACACATACGTTTCTGATATTCTTAGAATAAGTCTGCAATATCTTTAAATTCATCTTTATATTCAATCACATTCAAACGAAGAGTTAAATAAGATGAACAGATAAATGAAAATTGCTATTTATATGGATATTATCTGAAATTTGCACGAGT